ATATATATATTTTTCTAGACATGTATTTTTATATTGTGTGTGTGTGTTTTTGTGTGTCTCTCTGTATATATATATATATATATATATATATATATATATATATATATATATATATATATATATATATATATATATATATATATATATATATAAAGTTATCTTTTGTCGAGATGTCATTGACTGAAAAATAAAAAATTATTATTTAAGAAAATCCAGGTGACATTGGAAAGTTTCCAGGGGTGAATCAGCTAGGCTGCACAAAACGGTGTTCCTCGGCCACTCAGTCATCGCGGATCCTAATGCCGGAGCTTATCGGGCCTACGATAACGGAGCTTGAGCCGACCCGTTATTTTGGCCCCCTGGCGCTTATACCAACAGATAACGACCGAGTGCCGCTTTCGATCGAATTAGGGTTTCGAGGAGAAAAAGAACGGCGAAAAAGAAAGGATTCGCTCCGTTACTCTTTCGTTCTCTTCCTTCGCGGTTGGAATCGCAGCAATGGCGGCGGAGAGCAGGAAAGAGCGCCTAGATCAGCCCTTGAAGCCCTCCTTCCCCGAGAGCCTTCTCGTGGACGGCAAGCCGACCGCGCGCGGGACACGAGGCCGCAAAGCCGCCGCCGCCACGAACGGAGACTCGGTAGTAAAACCCGTCATGGCTGCGGTCCCGCGAAGCCAAGTTCTCGGCAAAGTGAAGGACTTTTTGGGAGTGATCGCTGAGGCCAACGAGAAACTGGAGGTTGACGTGGGCGCGAGTTCTCGCGCGGACTACAATGTAGAAGTGCTCACTGGGAACGAGGAAGAGTACATCGAGATGGATTTGCTCCTGGGCATCACCGACCTGCACACTGCCGAAGCCGTGGAAGCAGCCGAGGCTGTCATGAGCGGCTTCCGGCCGTCGGCACCCTCCACTAGCAGCATCTCCTCTGACTCAGATGACGACAGTGATGACGACGCAGAGAAGCTTAAGGTGGGGAGCGATGAGTCTGTGCGCAGTGACACGCGAAGTAAGCGTCCAAAAATTGTTGTGCTTGATTCAAGAACGGATTAGAGTTGGTCAGGAGACAAACACTGCAGTGGTAATGGCCAAGAATCAGCATTATATACTCTCTTTATCTTTTATTGTTACTGGTCTCGTCATGTTCCTAATCACGCTTACATCCATTTGTTGCAGAAGATGATCTTGGTGCATGTCGGGTTCGAACAATTATTCCTGGGGATCTTTTTACTTCATAGTGCAGCTGTTGGATGCAAGTGAGTATGTTTCTGCTCCCAACTTGCTGCATTACCCTAAGAGCCATTGTGTTTCAGATATCTAATTTTCTCTTCTGTCATTAAAAATTATCACTTGTAGACCATGCGAGTAGAGTTGAAGAATGATGTTTCGAATGTCATTGCTGGATAACTTTGCCTTGTCCTTTTCTTTAATATTGATTAGAAATGATGCAATCTCATGCATATAGAAAATTCACATTGCCTTGATGTTGTCATTGATATGATGCACAAGCAGCAATCTGTCGAACTTGTCTATGTAGAAATCATTTACTTGCATGAATTTTTGCATTAAGCTAAGTACAAATCATTAAAATGGCATTGGATCTCACTGGCTATTTTTTCTTTCCATGACACTGTCCTATATATTTTCGTTAGTGGCAATTTCATGCAAGCATCAACAAAGGAATACTAGGGCTTTAGTTTAATTGCTGATTTTATCTCAACTGATAGTTTACCCTACGATGATTCTGAAAAATGTAAGTAGGGCTGGATTCTTTAAGTTCATGTGGTCTTGACATGACTTGATCCTATAAGCATGAGATCCATTATGGAAACAAAATTCTTGCAGAGATAGAAGATTGAATGACTAACCAGAGGACACTGTTAATGGAAAATCTTTAGATAGTCTTCAAGATCATGTGGTATGCCAAGCCTAACCTGGTCTTGTCCATGAGATCCATGTTGATATCAAAATTTTGCAGTCTCGTAGGGGTTGAATCTTAGAATGACTAATTACAGGACAGAGAGAAATTTTATAGAAGAAACTGTACCTTGGAAGTCTGTAAACTGCATCATATAGTCCAGTGAATAACCTTGGTATGTCCAATGAGTTTTAAGCCTGCATCTCAAATCTTGTATTTTCCCTTTTTGTCTAGGACAAAACTCCCTTCTCCATTCCTCTGGTTTTTTTGCCACTAATAAGTGGAATTATTTTGTTACTTCTTAGGCAACCTACCTTGTGCTGCTTCTTTTGTTTATCTTTTCTACCCAGAAGATCTTGGTTTCACATCTTTCATCTATGTTATTGTCAACCGAAATGATGATAAATGAGGAGATCAATGTCAGTATTAGATAGAATTCCACTTTTTAGTCGTAACAAGTTACACAGACAGCATGCTGACTTAACTTTTTTTCAGTATTACATAACATTGACAGAGACTTAGGGGACTCTTTCCATTTTACATAGCTGTACCTGTTCGAAAGTATGATTTCCCCCTCTATGAACAACCCCTGCATCACATCCTCCCTCTGATGACCTCCTCAAACACCTAATCCATCTGTGTCAAACCTTTGAAACCCTTGGTTTTGTTCAAATGACCTGGTCTTTGACTTCATCAAACCTCTCAGGAAACTCTGGTTGCTCTGTTTTTTTTTTTTTTTACTACCCTGCTGCCTCACTCACCATTTCATGCTCAACCAGAGAAACTCCCAATGATCACTGAGCTGGAAGTCTGCTCATAATTAAAGGCGACTGACTGATTATGTAAGCATCTCGGTGAACAACCGCCGGCATTGGCTGAAAGAGGGGAGAGAATATTACTGAAACAAGGAGTAGTGACAAGATTTTGACAGTAGTTTTAGCAGCCAATATCATAATAGGCATACTCTTCTCAGCTCTTCCATTGCCTGTGTCTAAATCTTTCATTCAATGCATTCAAAATTTCCTCGGATGCTTTCTGTCATCTTCCGAAATCAAATTTGTCGTAGAAGTGTCATCTTCTCTCGGTTAGTCGACTGCGAGGTCTACTCCACAGAAATCTAATAAATATGCATACTTATATATATATATATATATATATATATATATATATAGAGAGAGAGAGAGAGAGAGAGAGAGAGAGAGAGAGAGGTGATGAATTGAAACTTGTGGATAGTGATGGTACGTAGTCTTATATAGTGATGCAAAGAAAGGTGGGAGTGCTGTTGATGCCTAGTTCTAACTGAGAAAAGAAATGAGAAACAAACGAGAAGAAGAAGACACCAAAACACTTGTTCAAGGACTTGTTGCATATTGCTCGCAATCCCAAGAGAGCATTGTTTATCCTGCTTTCTTGGTCCACCATTTTTTCCTTGTTCATCGTTCAAGGATGTATTATAAGGATGAGATAACAAGAGCTGCACTATGATGGCCAAGAAACAATCTCGTTGGTTGGTCTCTGAGGAAAACATCCGTGATTTCTTAGAACAATATCATGACAGCAAATGAGTCATTTGTCCTGTATTGCATTCATTGGATCATATGCAGTAACTTAAACAGTGGTGGTGTCAAATATAATTCGTGTAATAAAACCAAGGCTGTTTGCTGCTGTTGCAACAAGTTCATGCCTGACCTTTAAGCAAAATCTCCCCCCCAAACGATCCCAACAACGATCTGGCAGAAATTGAATCACCTGCTTCTGTGGTTTTTGTTAGTGCTATACAACATCAAAATTCTTGAAAACAAGCTCTGCAATCGGTGTGTTACTACTACTTTCCGTTGTTTACACCATCACCAGCCAATCAATGAACCAATCAATGAAATCCGTACATCTGTCTACTCTTAACTATTCCGTAAGGCGATTCATATGGAGTTGGGATGCATCCTCTTGGAGTACCTCACTTGATCCAAACTTCCCTAGTGTAGATATAGAACAAATCAGAGTCAGGTTTGTTTGCAGTGCAGTGCAGTTGATGATGGAGGCCTCAGTTGAAACAGGATAACACAGACAGACATTCTTTGTTATGCCCCTCCGCTGTTGCTTGTTCTGATTTCACTGTAAACATGCAGTGCCTCTGCCGTAAAAGTTTCCAATTCTTGGACAATTGGAAGTAAACCACTTGGCAAAATGCTGGAAGCAGCTTCTTGAAGTCGTCTTAACGTTTCCTTCTGAGTCAATCTCTTCTCATCCAATCTCTGTCTCAAGGTGTACAATGCCATTGAGGAATCATCTCCGTGCTTCGGACGGCCCTCATGGCGTGACAGAATCTCTAGATGCCCATTTGTCTGGTTTGCCTGCCTAGATCTTAGCCTTCTATCATAAACTTGCAACAGCCGCTGTTCTTCAAGTCTTTGCCGCCGTTCCTCCTCTTGACTCTTCCGTATCACGTGGATGATTTCTACAAAAGCACGCATTCTGTCAACAACCTTTTCCTCCGAGATACTCTCAATTGCATGGTGCCAATCGTTAGAGATGATAAATGCAGATGGAGCCCCGAGTCTGGTTGGGGAGAAAGGTGCGAGTCCATCAGGGGTTTGCTCTTGTTCCTGAGGAAGCCATTTCATTAGCCATTCATTGAGGACTTCAACGTAAGCTCTCTGGATTCTTATCCACTCGTCGAAACAGTTACACCAGTTTAGCAGCTCCAACTCCAATTTCTTTGTCGCCTTTGCAGCAGGTCCTCTTGGGCTCGTGGTTTTCATCATCAAGCTGTGGCTTTTGCAGTTAGACACAGCACGCAACTGCCTCTGATGGCAATCCAGCAGAGACTTCCACATTCTTATAAATCTGCATGAAAGGAGATGGAAACTATGATCGTGTACTAGAACATATATGACTAGCCAAAAAAAAAAAGGGGGATTGCAAAGGAATATATAATTAATCAAGTTTGTTTAATAATTACATTTACAAGAATTGATATGCTAATAATATCCAAAAATTAACAGATCAGTCTTACAGTATTGAAGTTAATGTACCAGTAAATAATTATGCAAAATGCTCGCTTCTGTAGCACCAGATGACTAAATTTCTACTGACAATACCAAGTGATTTTGGGATGTTTGCATTGTGGAACTGTGGTGTGTTCTTTAAATGTCTCGTTCATCAGATTACTGGATATCAACTACTTGATCCGAGAAACAATAAGCTTACACACTTCTATCATCGAAAGTGAGTAAATACTAAGATATCAAACAGCGCATTTTTAATGTAAGCAAATATCCAGTATACAATGAGGTTGGAACTTTCATACCCTTGGATGAGTTCGATAAGCAGGGGCTGCAACTCTTCATCTCGTATCTCGTGCATCCTGCTTGAGATAGCATTAGCTGATTTAATGATAATGCTTATTTTTGTACACAGCTTTCTTACGGATGCCCAGGTCAAGTCAATCTTGGAGTTCTCTGCCCCTCTATCGTCTAAAGCTTTGAGCCACTTGTGCTTCTTGTCATAGCTGACTCGTAGTTTTTCTTCATCCTAGAACAAGCACCTAAGCCATTTAACATACATGTCGATTCTTCAAAGAATTCAAGTACAAAGCAGTTATAAAATAACAAATCATGATCTTATGTTCTATTTATCATAAAAATGCAATCACAAAAGCCTTCAGAGTTAAGACCATGATCAACATTATGCGTTCAGCATCTGTAACCTAAGGTCAATAGATGGGTTTCAAATTTTACATATCAATACCTGGCACATCTGATGTTGCAAAATTGTTGACAAGTCCAAATGATATCGCACAGAACCAACATAGCAGCTTGTAGTATGTCATCTCGAAACTACAGGCACAACTTTAGATATTCCCATTACAGTCCTTAACCAAAAAAAGAAAAAAAAGAAGACGTGAACCAAATATATATGACGCAATAGCATTTTATTATTCACTATGAAGATCATTCAGTACTTGATGGTTTTGATTTGAAATATCTATGCAAGACTATCAAAAAATTCACATAAGCAACAGTCCAACGACATGGCTTTTTAATTCCACAAGCACTATGGAATTATTCCATCTGGTTATCTCAAATTTCATCCTGGTGTACATTCTATAAAGTAGATCCATACCTTTTCTTTTCCTTTCTCATGTCACATGGAAATTAAGTTTCAGTAGTTTTTCTATATCCACATGTATTTGTGATTGCATTGGAGTGGGATAGATACAAAGACTAAGTAGCATCCCTTCTCCTTTGGCCAGTCAATTGCAGAAGAGCTTTAATCCCTATATTATGAAAGCAGCCTGATTCCATGCTTAACAGTTTGGGAGAGTACAGAGATGATAACACTCATGTCATATCTTTGTGACACTAGATAAGTCAGACCCTTGGCCATCAGCTCCCAATCATCCAATGAGGAAGCATATAAACCAGTTTGAACTGAACTCGATAATGTATGTGCGCAGCAGTACGTATGATTATTACATTTATCTTAGTGAAGGCTGGTTGGCATAACTGGATAAATACACATATCCTTTTCTTTTACATAGAGAGAACCAATTCGAGCTTTTGGCCCATAAATCCCAAATGCATTTTATAAACTTAATATTTAAACATTATATACATCCCCCTATTTTTTTTCAGTAAGAGAACTTAATTTACATTCACAATTTTTATCTATGAATTGGACTAGTGAACTAAGCAACCTTATTCTATTCTAATAGCAATAAATTGCAGTCAGAAAATAGTTTAGGTTCGTTCTTGTAGATTAAGCATGTTCCAAAATGATACAACAAAGCAAAAAGGCTACCATATGAGATAATGACTAAATTTCTAATGCAAAATTGGAGAGCAGTATTTAGGTGGATTCTTGTAATAAGAGCTCTACCTTGACTTCCCTGTAGAGTTTCTTCTCCCATACATACAACTTCTCCAATGTTGATGAAAGGCTGCCAGACCTTGCAACAGTGCTGTTTCGAGCAACTGCATTGCCAGCTTTTCTCCTTATTGTGCTCTTACTTGAATGCCGTGACGGAGAAAGGCGTGAACGTATCAACAAAGGCAAAGCCATGCGATCCCAAATCCTGGAAGAGATGACTGGAACGAGATTTATAAGATTTACAAACTGTGTGTTCATTCTAGATTAATCAACCTCCCCAAACTAGAGATATTCTTCCATAGTTGTGTTACAATGATCATGCACTAAAATTTAGCTTCTTTAGAGTGCCAGTCTTGCAGAAAACAATTAAAGCATCTATATAATAAGGAAACAATGAGTGAAGAATATTATAAGAAATTTTAGAATGCTCAGTAGTCAGTACCACTATGGCATAATGTGATGCTTGAAACGAAAAAAAAAATTGATGAAAGCATGAAGATAGAAGTTGTCTCCAGCATCTGCAAAGAATTTTCCTAAAGATTCTAATGATCAAGAGCACAGCTGAAATCGGAGGATGAGACCATTAGTTAATTTATATTGAATTAACATAGGATCAACTAACAAAGGCATAAAAGTGGTGCGCTTCACACCAAAAAAACTCAAGTACTACAAAGTAGATAGCAGAGCAACTAGGAAAATGCAGTTGTTAAACGTGCATATGGTTGAATGTATGTAATAATATGCTTTTCATAGTTTCTTTCAAGTTCAGTGGCAACAAAAGGCATCCAATGAAGTAGAACATAGGAGCCAAAATTGAACTCATACCTCAAAAAATTAATATGTTCATTATGGAAACCAAAGAATTCAAACAGTGACTGCAAATAACAGGACAATTTGGATAAGCAAATAAGATATGAGATAATGTAAATGTAGAAAATTTCCTTTTTCTTAACTTGGATCCCTCATGCCTTTAGTAAGTGCACAACCCTGGTCCAGATAATGTAAATGTAGAAGTAACCCCACCCATCTAACCCTATGGCGTCTCTTTCTCAGCTTCAGTTTGCAAACTTCTTTGACATGACTAGCACAGAACATGAAACCAGAAACAGATGAACCAAGCTAAATCTTACCTCTATGCATTTTACTTCTTGATCGGTATGGCAATTTGCCCAGCTCAAGCATCTGTGATATGTCTTCACCACAACCAGCAGCTGAACTGAAATGCTCCTCAATCTCCTGCACAACCTCCATCACATCCCTGGTACCTTGAACAGGCAATGGCTGATCATCATCACTGTAAGCAGACAATGGTTTCTCACTGCTGCGCACGCTCTCCTCAGTAACATATGAAACATCCTCAAATGTCACCCCTTTCTTCTTCCCATTGGATCCTGCATCCTCCCCACCACTTATCGTTTTACTCCCTGCTGAACTGCTCCTTCTCTCTTTCTCTTCCAACTCAATGCCAACCTTCTCATGCTTTCCTCCAATTTCACGACTGGGACCTGAATTTGAGCTTCTAGAGAAAGAATCCTTCTGTCGCAAATCATCATCAACTACGTTATTCTCAGTCATTTCCACATCTGCTTCCTCTTCAAGATCAGGAATTCCTTCCCGCTTACGCACCTCGCTCAAATCAGGACTGCTTATGGAGGAGCGTGAACCATACTTTCCTCCGGAATAATAGGGCAAGAACTCCTCGTAGTAATTGAAGGGGTCTAAGAAGTCCCAAGAAGAGGCTTCGTTAGGTGGTGGTTGAGGTGGAGTACCAGGGGCAACAGCCGGTGCCGAAGGACCTGCCCAATCCTCTCTTTCCTGCGGCGGAGATCCAATTGGAACACCATAGAAAGGATACCCATATCCATCATACGCAGAATTCGGCCAAGATGATGCGAACGGATCCTGGGAGACCATTGTGGGGATCGCCGTCGGTGACCTGATGAACGAAGAATTAGGGCTGGTAGGCGAAAAGCGATGATGAGGGGAAGTTGAAATCTCTCCTTCACCACTACTCCCGACCCTGCTGGCCTTTCCGTCGGCGAACGAAGTGGAGCCGCCGCCTGCACCCCGCGGGCTCGCCTCGGACTCCGACCCCGAGGACAGAGGCAGGTGGGAGCCCTCCGGCGACAGGGAGTGCGAGAGTGGCGTCACAGAAGAGGAAGTTGACGAGGCAGCGGCGGCGGTAATGGCACTGCCGCGACCAGTCCTGGCCTTCCTTTTGCCCTCGGATGAGGGGAGGACGAGGACGGAGGACCCCGGCGCCAGCTCCTCGTGGACGAAGTGGTGGAACGCGTCCCCGACGGCGGCGAGCGCCTGGAAGTAGGCCGCGTGGGCGGCAGCGAGGGCGTACCGGCGGTCTCTCGCCGCGCGGATCAGCTCCGTCCTCTCCCGGCAGAGTGCGACCAGCTTGGACTCCTCCGCCTTAGAGCTCCCGCATCCCATCTCCCACCGCCGCCGAGGAGGATAAGAACCTTAACCGCTCCGTCGCCAACCGTCATCGCGCTCCGACATATACGAAGGCCGGAGAACACGCACCCTAAACCCAGGTGGACCGCTTCCACACCGCCGCTTCGTCTCCATCCATGAGCGCGTGCGAACTCCTAAATAACGTAACGACTCGCTTGTAACAGTCCGATCGCGGGATGAAGTCTACACGAGGCGGTCAACCGCTCCGTCGCCAACCGCCATCGCGCTCCGACATGGACGAAGGCCGGAGATCGCGAAACCCTAAACCCAGGTGGACCGCTTCCACACCGCCTCCTCGTCTCCATCCATGACCGCGTGCGAACTCCTAAATAACGTAACGACTCGCTTGCAACATTCCAATCGCGGGATGAAGTCTCCCCGAGGCGGAAGAGGAGGCGTCGAAATCGTGATCCCAGACGGAATCGGAAACGGCGAAGTGACAGCAGTTGCGAAGAAGAGCGAGGGTGGCAGGCGCGAACGGGGACACGCGAAGACGAGAGCGCCGGAAGAACTCCGCTCCTCGATGAGAGGCATGTGAACGTGTCACATCGGGGAGTTCCACCCAGGAACAGAAGTTTTCGGCCGTTATACCTGATCGCCAGCTCAACCGCTACTGGTCAGAGTTGAATGGGTCCCATTCGATGTTCATCCGGTGATATCGAGGGTAGAGAAATTGAGTGACCGAGACGGGGAGGAATAAATCGTTCAGGCTGGCGGGTTTTCCTAGAATTAAGAGTAGAAAGAGGTTTGACTATTGGAACGGTGACAATAGTCAAACTTGATGCGGTAAGATGTTTGACTGCACCGTTCTACGTTTTATGACCACGTAATATAATATACAATGCCGCGGCTTTGATCATTGAATACGGCCGACGCCATTTCCGCGTTGATAACATTTTGATTGGGTGATTGTTAATTCCAAAATTTTAAGATTTCTTTAAATAATTTATACTAAATATATGTGAGATTAAACCCACATGGACTCAAATATAGTGCAACTTAATGAGTTTTAGCTTTTTAGATTCTGATATTATAATATCTCCATGTATAATAATATCAAATTAGCCAAAAACGAAAGATGCTGATGAAAAAAATCATATCTTAACAAAATGTTCAAGAGCTACATGACCTAATCAATTCATATTCCTACTGAGTTTTGTTTGATCGTTCTATAGTGATATCCAACCAAGAAAATGAATAGTTCATTATGTCTTGTCCAAATGTGTATCGTCTCTAAGATAACTAAATATGAAAGCTCTTATGCTGTTAGGATAGCCTGGCAAATCGAGTTAGACCAACCTCGTGTCCACCTGCACTGCTAGAACGCACGGGAAGGAGTTGGAGAGCTACGAATCGCCCTTTTGATGCACGCACATCGACGTCAATGCAAGTAGATCATCATGGGGAGGAAGAAGTTCCAGACTTGGGAGGCCTGTCACAAGCCGCACGGACCCATCCGATCTGCTGCCTCTCGTTGTCGTAAACCACCGTGAGGTCTTGCAGAGAGATGTCTGCGAACACCCAACAATCTCATCAAAGTCAATCGGACGAAGAACGTGGAGCTCATGATGGCATCCATGTTTACGAGTCATGTACCTCCGATGACATTGAGATTTCCGAGTCCGACTTCGGTGCCGTCGAGAATTCCCAAGCACGCATTGCCATGTTGCTGCGATCAAGAACAACAGAGTCCCGCAATTCAACCTTTCCTGTCTCGATTGTCCAGTTACAGAGAGAGGGAGAGAGAGGGTCGTGATGCTCACTGTGATGATGAGGTAGTTCTCTGGAGGTACTTCGAGCAACGTTCTCTTCGCATTCACAAAGCTCAGAGCTAATGTCTTGAAGTACTGCTTGACATCATTCACAGACTTGAATGGCTTCTGCCCTCTCCAGCACACCGAAAGAGATGGGTCGTCGGATACCTCCTTCAGCGGCGTCTTCGACAGGTCACTCTTCACCTGCAAGAGCTCAAACCGTTGATTTACGGAACAACTTAGCCAAAGAACTGAAACGAGTTCCTACTTACAGCTGAGAGGAATGCTTGGTATGGCTGAAACCCAAAGTAGGTGTAGGTACTCCCGGTATCGAAAACCACCTCCTTTTGCTTCACTCCGAGAGATCGAGTCCCCCATTGGAGGTTTGCTGGCCCGGGCGAGTAATAATTCCTAATGCAAAACGAAGTTAGAGGACGGCAGATGAAATCCAAGAACTCCAGCAGAATGCAGCTCACCGGGATCCAATCCGAGACATGGGCGCCCAGGTCATCCGAGAGCTGGGCACCAAATCATCGCCGAAGAAAAGATAGCCGCCTCCCTTGGCGCTGAGACAGTGGCCGACGACGTTCTTGGTCACCCCTTGATCGCTTAGCTGAGACAGAACGCTAACCTTCCCGGTGCCGAGCCCGAGAACTCCGTCGGTGAGCGCTGGGGTGTTGGGGCTCGTAAGCTGCTGATTGTACCCACACCTGGACATGTCTCCATGACATGTTACTGAGCAGTCTACAGATCGGAAAGATGGAAGTTTTATGGAAACAACAGGGTGAGGTTGCTTACCCGAAGGCGAGGATGGGGCGGGCGAGGGTACGGCCGAGGGAGAAGGCGTCGGCGACGAGGACGCCGAGAGAGGAGCCGCTGTCTGCGTATTCGATCTCGTAGTCACATTGGCCGCAGTTCTGATCCTGGGCAGTGCCGGAGTGGAGGGCGGCGCAGAAGGGGTTTCTGCAGGGTACAAGATTGGTGCGCTTGGGCCGGTACCACGGGTGAGGTCCCTGAAGTTGACGAATCCAAAGGAAAAGGATCGGATTTTACTTGAGAATCTTACGAAGATTTTTGGGAAATTAGAGAGGAATTTGGGGAGGTTTGGGAACAAAGATTCGACCTTGGAACAGCGAACGCAGGGGGCGTCGCATTGGATCCAGGTGAGGTCGCTGCCGGTGTCAACGTCCAAGAAGTAGGGCTTCGGCGGATTGCCAATGTTCATCTCCACGTAGTACAGCCTGCGAATTCGACAAAGAATCAGGTACAATAATGCATAAATCTGCATAAACCCAGTTCTTGACATGTACCCGCGCGGGTAGACATCGCCGTGGATAGGGAAGACAGCGGAGGAAGCGTCTAACGCCTTCGCCTTCTTCGGCGAGGGGGTAGTGACCGCGGCGGAGACGGAAGCGATCACAGCGGTGAAGACCAACGAGGCGAATAGGAGCCCTCTTCGGGCTGCCTTCCAGCCACCCATCCTCCGCCGATTGAGATCGTGGAACGAATCGGAGGTGAAGAAAGCGGCGTCGGATGGTCGAGTCCAATTCTCCGCTGTCGGCTCTGACGCGAAAGAGAGAATGGAGAGAGGTGGACGGGGAGGCTTCCGACGACTAGACTGCCAACTTGTAAGCCTTCGCCTGGCGTGAGCATTGATCATACCTCAAATTGACCTTTTTTTGTTATTGTTATCTGCATCTATAATCCCCATATTTGATCCTAATTATTATAATTATAACTATTTTATTTATTATAATTATCATTAACAAACTAATCAATTTTTTCCCCGCAGCTTCGTCTGCGACTCAATCCGCGTAAAACGCGATGTGGGTCCCACATCCGACAGGGAAACCAACCCGACATGGTGGTCGCTGGGGCCCACATGAAGCTCGCGGGAAAGCCCGCGTAACAGGAGACAGTTCAAGGGAGGAGGATTTGACTGGGACGCAAAACAACATTTTCCTGGAAGAACACAGACTATCGGAATAAAGAACGGCGAGGAAGAAGACGAAACTAACGATGGTGTTGTTGACTAGAAGACTTGACCACTAAGCACATGATCAAGTTCTTCCTTGTTTTTGTTGTTGATCTTAATGTGCAGATATAAACCCTATTTCCAGATGTAAGACTATGTATATTATCAAATGCTTAGCTTGCATTGGATCAAGAAGGTTTGATCATATCATACACTACAGATGACAGTCTGAAGGTGTCCTCTTCACTTCTAAAGGGAGAGGATAACAGGAAATGCAAGGGGGTTAAGCCTGCAAACCTGTTGCTACTGCAAAACCCAAAGGTTTGATGGCCTTGAGCACATCAGTGTATCCATGGCTACAACCACCAACTATTCAAGCAAAATTAAGTTCCTAAAAAGTTCATGATGTTACACGGTGTAGCAAAACCTAATTAATCAAAGCGCAACTCCTCTGGCATGTCGCAAAGAGCTCGTATCGTGTGACTGGCCACAGCCATTAGCTGCAGATACTCGTCCGCCCCATCGATTAAGCACTGCAAAGGTGTTAATTGTAATTAAATAATTATGAGTAATCAAGCATTTTAATCCTTCCATTTTATATCTATCCTATTATTATAGATCACTATGAGGGCCTATTTGAAGCTGGAGACGACAGAACTGCACGAAAGAACATTTATAACATGTAGAAAACTACTCGGATGATTACAAGAAAGAAACATATGATTAACTCTTGAGTCGGGCTGTGACTTTATGATAAAACAAATAGGTATCTGGAGGAGATCAAGAAAAATGCAAATGATCTATGGGGATGCCTGGAGGTTTTCCATAATTAGCTAGGTTATGAGGTGGGTTTATATATGTGCAAAAACAACTGGTACACGACTAAGATTTATATAAACAAGACACTCAAAAGTTCCGTGTATCTACACATACTGTGTGAACAAGTATAGCCATTAAGCACTAGCACTCACATTGTATGCCTATATTCATTGAGGTCAAGTCATCATATAAGACCAATAGAACAGATGATTAGACAGAAGCATTAACGCTAACCTTGTCTGCTTCACCCAACTTCTTGCAGATTCTTGCCTTCTGTTCATCTGATATGTCATCGTTATTAACTATCACCTCTAGGAACTGGTAAACCATCTTGAATCAGTACCATATACAATAAGAATTATGATTGTACAGTGAAAGTAAGTTGTAGGCGAGATATAACCTGATATAGCAGTTGAGAGACTGGATATCCCTCAGCAATTACATTATTAACCTCCTTGTTTGCAACATCAAAATCGCCAGATTTGCAAGCTGTGAATACTGCTTGAACTACTTCTTGAGGGATCACCTAAACAATCATGGTAGAAACAGTGGTCATAACAGAAGCACAAAAGATAAGCTACTAGTCAAACAAAAAAAATATTCTGCTTTAGGCATCACATATTGTTGCTTTAAGACTCATGTAATAGTTGCATGGACAAGAACCAGTGTTCATATGAATAAAACAGTAATGTATAACGGTGCCCATCACCAAAAAGAGTTGGAAAAAATCAAGAGTGAGCTCGCCAATAGACCATTACAGTCATCCACTAAACAATAATATATACAGCAACAGATCATCAAAGTCCTTTAACATAACCTACAAGCCTTATCCAGATACACCATCTGTCTCGAAGAACTTCATCCATCAAGGTTAGTATTTGAAAATACTTTAATAAACTATCCAACCAAACATTTGACCTAGAAGTGAGAGTCATGAAGTTTATGAACTAAAGGAAGACCTAGGACAACATTTAGTTCAAGAGAATGTTTGTTGGTCAAAACTCAAAAGTCAACCGTTGTCACTCTACCATTGAAGTTTTAGAGAATGACCTGGAATTTGGTTGTGATCAATTTTAACCAAGCTTAACCAACCAACATATTCATGGCACATTCACCTTGTTTGTACAACTAGATATTCATCATCAACTATTGAACCATAAAGGTTAAGGATCGGGTTACTCGGTTTCAATCACATGAAATGAAATTGAATTCTATAAGAGAAAAGTGTTTGGTGTGCAAACCATTCTATGTTTATTTGCCTTTTTAACATTTTCTCCGTTTGAAGGTTATCTGAAAGATGTAACAGTTACCATATACTTTATGTGTGGCTATGAAAAATAATTTGAAAATGATCCCTAAAGAGAAACTAATCCCAATCAAAGATTTGCTGATAGGAAGATTGTCTCACAAAATATAAATGAAAATAAAGATTCTCAAAATTGAAAAATCGGATGTGTCTGACCGGATTAATAATTGATTTGAGATCATTATTTATTTATTTGATCATTTGTTTAGCTTTTCTTCTACTTGTAATTGATAGACTGTTAAAGGGGAAAAATTGGAAGCGATGGGAAGGTAGATCAGTGGAATGTATAAACAAAGAAGTCAGGCTCTCCCTGCTGGTGTAAGATCATTGACCATGGGAGGTGTGTCTAGTATGAGACTACGAATACCTAGGTCGATGACTGGGAATTGGAAAACATCTAAAAATCATGGATTATTTCTTCTCTTATTTTCTTCTGCATAATTTCTCTGTTTTCCACTCGTGCTTTTCTTTCTTTTTTAATAACCCATAGTTGCTTCCAATATAGAACTAAATGAATTGCCAATTTATGTCAATCCTGGTAAAATTACTTGGTTATAACTAGGATCACAAAAGTTTTTTTTTCTTTGACACACTGACTGAAAAACAGAGATCTGCCAGATGCAATTTTCTAGAAGATACATGAAATAAAATGTTAAAAACAAGTGGGAGTAAAAGTACCCCAGAAACACTAATGAGGTCCTTGGATGTAATGGATGATCCAAACAAGCGAGCTGCACTCTGAAAAGAATTGAACAGAAAAATAGTTTTGAGACATCATAAAGTGTTGGTCTGTCGCTAAATTTCTGCATGACCAACTCCTCCAATCTTTCCTTCTCCTCAAAAGAGAAAAGTTACAACAAGAGTAGTAGATTAGGAGCACTTTAATGCCAAGATAAGCTTTATCAGTATGATCAAAGCAAGCAGAAAGTAAAGAAAAAAAAAACCTGCAGGTATGTAATAGCACGGCGAAGATCTCCCTGAGAGATTGAGCTCAAAGTAGAAAGAGCCTAGTTGGTTTTTATAAACAAAAGTTAGTATTTAATCACAATTTGTGCATTGTGCAAATATCCTTACTTCCAAGGGAACTACTAGGTAACTGAAAAACACAATTCAATGGTCTGCATACCTCAGAATCCAGAGTCAGGCCTTCTTCACTACAAATGTGCAAGATGCGACTACTCATTATACCCTCAGAAAGAGGTTTAAACCTGAACTTCGCACACCTGGAAGCAAGTGGTTCTATGATCCTATACTCAGAAAAAGGATAAAACCGAATGAAATTAGATTATCAACTATTTAAACGAAGAGGAAACAATTGTTATTTTACTGCAAAAATGAAATAAAATGAAGGGAAAATACCTGCTGATATAGTTACATATAAAGAAGAACCTAGTTACTTTGGAGTAAGTCTCCATGGTACGTCTTAATGCATTCTGTTAGGATAACTTACATCAATTCAAGAACTCAAATGCGAGGTTTTATTGATATCAAAGGAAACCCAAGATAAAGAAAACTAATAAAATCATGGACCTGAGCATCTTCTGTCATTGAATCAGCTTCATCTAGGATGATGATCTTGTAAGGTGGACATGGATATCTGTTAGAACACAGTAAAGGATGAAGAAAATGGAAAAAGGGAGAATTTACAAAGTAAACAGACATTGTCTTTTTTTATCTTAATAAGCAGAAAGAATACAAACCCTTGACGAGATCCTGAACCCACAGCAACAGCTGCAAAATCTTTGATCTTTGTTCGCACAACATTAATCCCTCGATCATCACTAGCATTAAGTTCTAAAACTCTTGATCTATAGAGTTCTGGCCTGTTGACAAGGTGAAGGCAAAATAAATGACACTTTAAATAATTCATGTGATTGGAAGTTTATCAGATAGTGGTACTATGGAATAAATAGACCTTAGAGCTTCAGATATAAATATTATTAAAACTAGAGAATAAACATTATATAGCCACATCTATTGGTCCAAAATCTTGCAACGTTTCAAATGATGGATCATGTAAAACAGTTGCGGATTAGATTCCCTAACTGATCTTTCTCTAGTTTAATGAAGAGAATAAGATTTTAGATAACATGTTAAGTATATGCATATTAGAACAAGCCTTTAGATAAGATGTTAAATATACACATATATCCACATTTTTATAATAAAAATTTATTAAAATGCTTTCAACAATTTACAGGTCACAGAAATTATTAAAATTTCTGGTTTTGACATGCTATCTTTTGACTCTTTTTTATGCCTCTCCCTTCCTCCCTCCACCACATTGATTCTCCTATGTTTCATGCTGCCTGTTGGTCACCACCACCAACCATAGCTAGCTGTTTGTACAGGTTTCGCATCAAAATTTTAAACCATAGCCATCATATGCAATTAGCATTCATTATAAGCATTACGCTCCTGACTAAATCCAAATTGCAACTTGACACAAAGAAAAAGAAGCTAGAATCTCAGTTCCACTTTGGTCACCCTGAGTAATTGATTAATCTCTTTACTAAATTCCTATGGAACTTTAGTATCTAATACTAGTGATTTAAAAAACGCTAGGCGCCAAAAGGCGCCAAGGTCCAAAAACGCCCGAGGCGCTAGGCGCTCGCCCGGGTGAAGTGAGGCGCTAAAATATAAAAATATATAATATAATTAATAAATATAATTATTTAAATTTTTAAATAAAAATATGTTATTAAATTAATCTAATAAATATAAATACTATTACTAGTATATAGTTAATAGTTAACAGTATACAGTATACTGTTAATTGTATACTATCGAAAGAGGAGAAGAGTGTAAGGGAAGAGTCGGAAGACCGAGGGTGTTGACTGAGAAGAGCGGGAGCGGCAGCTGCGAGCGACGATAGTGGCAGCGGCAGCAATGAGCAACAGCAGCGCCAGCGGCATGCAGCGATAGTGGCACCGGCAACAACGAGCAGCGGGAGCGGAAGCGGCAAGCGAAGACCGTGGCAATGGTAGCAACGAGCAGCGGCAGCAGTAGCGGGAGCGGGAGCGGGAGTGGAAGTGGCGAGCGGAGATAGTGGTAACGGTAGCAGCGGAAGCGACGACAGTGGGAGCGGTAGCGGTAGCAGCGAGCAGCGACGACAATAGCGTGAACGGCGAGCGGGGTTAGGGTTGGGGAAGTCACGCTGATATCGGTGCTTTAGTTGGTTCGATTGAACCAACTAAAGCACCGGAGACCGAACCAGACCTCAAACGCTAGTTCGGTCGCCTGGTTTAACCTAGGCGCTCGCCTGAAGCGCCCAGCGCCTGGGCTTGGGCGAGCGCCTAGGCGACGCCTCTTTGAAGCACGCCGCCTGGAAATGAAGCACGCCGTTTGAACCAGACCTCAAACGCTAGTTCGATCGCCCGAGCGCCTTTTTAAATCACTGTCTAATACCTTGTCAATCATATCTTGGTGACTAGAATAACTCCCAGATGTGGATGAGAATAATTAAATATAGGGGGCAAGCCTTGGCATCATGGTGAGGTTGCTCCTTTTTGGCGGTAAGGCTGTGTAAATCAACCCTACCTAGACCACATTAAGAGCTCATGTGCTAATTCATTCTTTTTCAATCAGTCATAAATGTATCTCATACAGAAAATTGTAGCTGCCACTTTTTAGTTAAGTATAAATGTATCTCATTCGTAACAATAGAACTATGTTAGGACAGCATCTCCAACATGACAAGCAACAAGCAATAGCTAAATGGCTGTCCTATAATTAATTTATCTAATACAGAAGCATATAGCTTTAATAGGGGCACCATCTCCTACGCAACAAGCAACAAGCATCGGCTAAAAGGATAAATCAAGAAGTAATATTTCAAAATCGTTTTATAAACCTAGTATCAATATATAATTTGAAGTCTAAACATTATCTCCTCAGAGCAGACTTACATGATGAGCATTACAGCGATATTAGACCAGCGAAATCAAGCAAGAAGCCACATCCATTCAGACACAAGTTGTTTGAAGTAAAGCAAGAAGAAAAGTTAATTAAACTCGGAGGCGATTAGTAACTACCCAAAGAGTTGGTGAGCAATGGCAAGGGCGGTCGTAGTCTTCCCTGTTCCGGGCGGCCCGTAAAAAAGCATGTGAGGGCACTGTAGAAACATCTCCAAATAAAAAAGAACAGCCAAAAAAACCTCTTTTTTTTTCCGATGAGAGACAAAAACAAAGAATAAATGGGAAGGAGAGGGAACTCTCACGTTGGCGGTCTCAAGGGTGTTGGTGAGGACTCGGATGACCTCGTCCTGGTGCGCCACATCCTTCACCTGCCTTGGTCGGCTGCGCCGTCGTCGTCGTAATGTTCCCAGAAGAGCCGACGAGGGATCAAAAACGGGACAGAGTTGCCACCAAACCGAAAGAAATACCAGAATAGAAAGAGAGAGGACCGACGAGAAAAGGAGAGGGAAATCGTACTATTTCTCCACCCACGGCTGGGAGCTCTGAACTACGGGCGCCATTGCCCTCTCGGCGGGGACAATCGACGCAGCGCGGCGGAGGACGGGGAGCGGCCCGGGGGGGAGGGGTGGGGAGACGAGGTGATGGAATTTGAGGGCTTCAAGCAACAACAGGGCGCGACGAGCTTACCACATCACGGACCTAATTGGCTGGACCGGCCCATATGGATTCAATTTACGGCCCAACCAAACCGGACCGGTTCAAAACATTCCACCACACCAAATCATCTCTACGGTGATTCAGTCAGCCTATAAAGCATTTTTCATATCGTACATTAGATTTAGGTGGAGAAATTTATGATTCGGGTGGATTCGCATGCATTCTAAAAGTGGCAATTAGAAAGAGGATTTTGTTATTTCTGTCATATTCTCGAGATATTACTTCTGTCCAAAATCGATATGATAAAAGAATAAATTAATTAAGATGAGAAAAGCATGGAAGGAGAGAGTAGAAGACAAAAAAAACATGACAATAGAGTATATGAAATGTATTGTTTAAAGGCCTATACCTAATTATCTCGTTGCCTATGATTCAAAGAAAAATTGAAATATTCTAAAGCACCCAAAAAACGCATTGAAGAATACACTAATGAAAAAGAAATTATTTTTAAATTATTTATTTCATTATCCTACAATCATATAATAATATCGGATTAGTATCCATATTCAAATGCAGCTGTATCACTAAGTTCCTGTTTGATGTCCGCATCAAAATAAATATCACCAATTATTAATTGATATAAATAAAAACCTTACCACTTTCTTTAAATAAACAACTTTCTTAAAATAAATTATTTATATATTCTCATTAATGGTATATATATATATATATATATATATATATCGCTGTAGAATCAAAGTAATTATTTTTCCTGGTAATTCGATCGAGAAGGCGAAGCACAACCTGCGACGCCGCTTTCCACTTTTCTTCAAACATGTATCTCGTTCACGAGTGCCACGTGGAAATATGAGAAAGGCCAAAATAATAACTCTGCCCGAACGACCACTGCTCCGCACACCGACCTGCGTCGTAATCGGATAAACGGCTAGCGCTTGGTGGGTCCCAAGCCAATTCTCTAATGGTAAGGCAGGTAGTTTCGGAGTAAGCAAAAATATGACTCCATAAAAGTAACACAACCGGTATAGTACACCAAGAAAGACGTTGAGCTAATGGTCCACGCTCAGTTCCCTCCTCGCCACGTTTCCAGCGAGGACACCACAAATGGGATATACACAAAAAGTACAGACGGTACAGATGAAAGGTGAGAGTTTGATGGACGGTTTTCAAGAGCCTTTCATCAGCTTCCCATGCAATGCACCCCGCACGAATTCGTGGTCGCATGACGTCTAAATTCCAAATTTACCCCTGTACAACTACATCCGGCGGGGGACATTAGGGCAAGGGTGGGCCCCGATAATAGTGTGGTGAAACGTCGGGTGCTACGGGTGGGTACGAACAGCGTTTCTCCAGGCCACCAATTACGAGCCATGCCAGCGTGACGTCAGGTACGCGGAGCACCACACCGCAGCCGAGAAATTATAAGAATTAATAGACGCCCACCCGTCCCCCGAACGGCACCTCATTATCGCTTGATTCAGTCCCGTCTCTCTCGCGCTCTCTCTCGCTCGCCCCGAAAGAGGATTTCTGTGTCTCTTTGTTCGAGGGTTTTGCGCTGTCGGCTCTTATGATCTTTGCCAGTCGTATCGGGTAAGAGCAAAAAGCACCGGTCTCTTCAGATCGTGTGCCACAAGTCCGATTTCTTGTTTTCCTCATGTAATATCTCTAAGATTAGATTGTGTAATGGATTCTACTCTCGGAGTAGGGGATTTTGGACCTTACGATTGGAAGTTTGGTTGTGGGACTTTCGACATCGATTATTTCCTCGATTCGTAAGATCGTTCTTGTGAACGGTCGGGATTAGATGGGCTTTGGGTGGTAGGTGCATTGCCCGGGGAGCTAGTCGGGCGTGTGATTCCCTTTAGGTCGGCAATTAGATCGAATCGCCTTTGGTTTTATGATAGATCTCCTGCACCGCCTCTAAGTTAGAGTTTGTGTTAGTATCAGATATTGGAGCCTCTTTTTTGGCTTTTTATGCATACGGGAAGTGATCTAATCCGTCAGAAACTAGGGCTTCTGCTTCAGTTGAAGTATGACTCGATTTATGAAAATAAGGAACTTTATGCATTTATACCAATATACTATAGATCCTAACTAAAATTAACGTTAAAAATATGTTCTTGATACAAGGTAGCCTGTCTCAAATTTTAAGCAAGTACCTACTATATAATGGTTAAGCTTCTAGTGCTTCAAGTTTATACTGCATTTTGTGCCAGTCTGGATGGGCAATAAGATGAATTGTGATGTCAATCTCAAAGCTTGTGGTCCCGGGATGTAGTATCTGTATGTGCCTCCTATTGATGCATCATCAGAACATATAAGAATATTATTGTTTCACTTGTGGCATGCTTACTGGGTGGTAATTATTTTAACCTTGATTGGCAAAATTTTTCTTATCCTGGAAGTTTTTTCAGGGCGTTGGCAGGTTTACCATTTTGATAATTTTGTTTTTTCTTTAAAACTGCTGGATTGATAATTTATTCTTTCTCCTTATTTGCTTGAGTTTTGATTGTTGTCTTGACTCCTGTTACATATCATGCATCGGACAGGTCTCTTGTAACATGACGTAACAAATTATGTGGGTAACCTAATTAAGACAATTGCCAACAGAATCATGAACATAATAGGAAAAGATGCAAGGGAGCATGCTACGAGTAGCCGAAACTTTCTTTTTATTGATGATCAGCATACTAGGACAACACAGGTACTGGTACCTCAGGTTGGTATTTCTTATTAAAAATGTACAGCATATGATGATTCATATAGAAAGTTTCTTTTTCTTTAAGCTGGAACCTCCAATAAAATAAACAAAATGAGCATGAAAATTTACTATCAATGTTCGTGTTTTACTATCTATGCTATTTTTCATTTGAGAAAGGTGGCCTTTAACTGATAGTCAAAGTGAAAACCAGTTTTGTAATTAACTAGATTAATAATTCTTAAATGTAGAGCTTTTTTGACAAAGGGTGTGAACACAGCTGTAAAATTGCTTCGTTACATCATTGAAGTCATAGTCTATGGGTTTGAATTAAGGAAGTAACCTCTTGAAATGTTGTGGTTGTGTTCTCTACATCTAACTTTACCTGGGTATCAGAATGGTGGAATCTCTTGCATTCCGCTTCCCCTTTGTTTAGTTAGCAATGATCAAAAGTAAGTGCTTGACTCATTTCTATCCTAAATATAAAACGTAAGACCATAAGGCAGAAACTTCATCCGAAGCTTTATGTGTTGTTGTCACATAAGTAATTAATTTTTGGCTAAATGGTTGGTGTTACTTTTCCTCTACAAGTGATTCTGATCTGGGGGTTTGTTTCCTCAAGTATTTGGCAATGGTTGTTTTATTCAGGTGGGCTTTCTTTTTATGTCTCTCTCAAGAAAAATAATTTTTTTTGTTATGACATTGTGTTTTTACTCAAAAATCTTTTGTTCTATTAAGCACTCAATCTATTAGCTTGAAAAGATATTTATAATTTTTTTCTTTCTTGGTGTAACAGTGTCAAACCTTCGGTCAAAAGCCCAGTGATTTCTGTATATTGTTGCATTATTCCTTTGCAAGTTAGAAGAAGTTTCTCCATTCGTTTAGCATAGATTTGTTTCGGAGATCTTCAGAAAATGCCTTCTCTGCAGTTATTGCCATTAACTGAGCATGGGCGTAGCCTTTTGGCATCTAGGAGGTACGTTAAGATATTTTGCTTTTCTGTCGTATTCCTTTTGTTGATGTTCTTGTTCACATGTCTTGATCAAATATAATATTGCTGAAGTCAGAGCATTCTGGTTCACATGTAACATACAGCTCTTATTAAAATGCTCCGTAACTCAAAGAAAGATAACTGAGTGAAGATGAAAAGAAAACATTGATGAACATAATACTGCTGCAATGCTACTTTCCTAAATAATGTGATATTTGTAGGCCTGGTTAATTGTTTAACCTTTGGTGGTTGTTGCAACTTTAAATTCTTTATGTTAGTATCATCAAGACCGTGACCTTGGTTTAAATGGAAATACATTATAGATGTTGAAGAGAAATTTGATCTTTTGATTGACAACTGCAGATTGTCTGATTCATGTCTTTCAGATTTGCTATGTAAAACCTTGTTTGCTTCCCATTTTGAGCTTGTCTGTGAGAGATTAATTATAATCATTTTATTATTTGTTCTCGGAATTTAGGTATGAGATGATATCATTATCTCTTTGCACTTTTCTCATATCCATCTTAGCACAATGGATATGGAGTCTAGTTGGCCTGCATATATGCCATCTGTGCGTCACATCAACACCACAGTATCATGATTCGAGTTTTATGTCTATGATATTAGAAAAGATGGATTATTAACATGAGGTAAGTGACAAGTAGGTAAGTGATAAGTGCTAAATGTGATAGAGAAAACACAGGTGATCAAGTGACTGCTCTAAACCATGGACGGGTGAGTTAAAATTAGGACAAACAATAGTTGGGTAAAATGTAATTGACCCTCTTTTTTGGATATTGCTATGTTCCAGTTTTTCTTTTACTATCGTGATTTGATTAAGACTAGTGATTTAAAAAGCGCTGGGCGCCAAGGTCCAAAAACGCCCGAGTGCTCGCTCGAGCGAAGCGAGGCACTAAAATATAAAAATATATAATATAATTAATATAATTATTTAAATAAAAAATATGCTATTAAATTAAGAAAATCAAGTACAAAATCACAATGTCATATTAATAAAAAGTCTCAAAAATCAAAACAATAAAATTTTACATCAAATCTTTTGAGTTGCTCTGTATACTTGTCATTTATTCTGAAACATAACAATAATTTTAAATAAATAAAAATTAATAGTATTAAAATCAAAATAATATATTATTAATCTAATAAATAAAAATACTATTATTAGTATACAGTTAGCAGTATATTGTTAATATACTGTTAACAATATAGTGAGAAGAGTGTGAGAAGACCGAGGCTGCTAAGGCAACGACAGCGGGAGCGGGAGTGGGAGCGGCGAGCGACGGCGGGAGTGGGAGTGGGAGCGGGAGCTGCGAGCGGCGAGCGACGACAACAGCGATGAGCGACGATTGTGGCAGCGGCGAGTAGCGACAATGGCAGCGGCAGTGGCAGCAGAGAGCAATGACAACGGAGAAGAAATCTCGACGGCAAAATCGCGAGTGTTAGGGTTGGGGAAGTCGGGGAAATCGTGAGAGGGAGCATATCGGTGATTTAGTTGGTTCGATTGAACCAACTAAAGCACCGGAGATCGAACCAGACGTAAAACACTGGTTCGGTCGCCTGGTTTAACTCAGGCGCTCGCCCGAAGCGCCCGGCGCCTGGGCTCGGGCGAGCGCCTAGGCGGCGCCTCGTTGAAGCGAGGCGCTTGGACATGAAGCGAGGCGCTCGGGCCTCGCCTTGCCTCGCCCGAGCGCCTATTGAAATCACTGATTAAGACTACAAAGTGTAGCAGCAACCACATAGGGGCAGGTATTTGACCAAAACTGACTTGAAATAAATTGCTATTTGTCATTTTAACAGTAGAAGTGGTTGTAACTTGAGGAATTCCTATTTGCTGTTATCACACTGATTAGGCAACAGAACTCTGTTATGATTTGTCCCTGGTCAATTACAATTCATTGTGTTATCTAGGTTTAAGAAAGTCTATAGCAACATAAGAGCAGCGACTGGTATCATATTTGATAAAAAACTACCTATTATCTTTCAAAACGCCTTACTTTTATCACACTGATTAGGCTACAGAACTCTGTTATGATTTGTCCCTGGTCAATTACAATTCATTGTGTTATCTAGGTTTAAGAAAGTCTATAGCAACACAAGAGCAGCGACCGGTATCATATTTGATAAAAAACTACCTATTATCTTTCAAAACGCCTTACTTTTAGTGCTAGTAATAAGCTTTTAAATATTGATCGGGTACTGGTTTTTTTAATTACCAAACCGTGTACCAAGTGGTATACCAACTTGTACTGCCTGCTGTCGTGCAGGTTGGTACCTGTCAGAAATAGCAATAAAAAAAAAATACTGACTGGTACCAGACCATATGGTCCTGTATTTATCCTTTGTTGGACCAGTAAATATCAGCCGGTACTTACCAGTATTTGAAACCATGGCTAGTAATATAGTGAAACTTGGAAGATGCAAACGGCTGTTTGTGCTTTTTGACATGCAATGTGTTCCATCTTCACTTGTATAATGATGCTTATCTACGGATTCGTTTGGTTCAAGAAGAAGTGATGGATCCTATCGTGTCATAACTTGCCAAAAGAGCTTTATGGGATATTTCCCAACTAGTTAAAGGGATTTACTTAGCCATTTTACAGTTGTAACCTAACCATTGAAACGGTTGATTTGAACAAAATAGCAGTTATCTATCCTCTACATTCATACCACTAATTTGTCTGGTTGGGGGCAAGAAATTTATAAATCTTCCTATTTGTTATTCTTAATAGAACCGATCAGTTTATATTTACTTTCGACTAATTCTTTACCTATATAAGAATGATATAAGTAACTTATCGTGCACTTTACTATTGAATTACTTATTCTCTTGAGATTTATGCTTGCACCAAATGGACCCTAATTGTTTACAGTCATACAATTCTACTCTCATGATAATATTTGAATTTTACTACTATGGCCTATTTTTCAACAGTATATACTTCATTATCTCTGAGTACAAAGGTAATGTGATTTCACCTTGAATCATCTTTTGTAAAGAATTGTGTATGAAATATGACTATCTTTACCAATATTCGGCTGTGGTATTAAGCAGGAGGACATTGGCAGCAGTGTCAGCTGTCTTAGTGGCTGGTGGAACTGTTGCATACATACAGTCACATCGCCGTAGAAAAATCCCCAAATCAGAAGAATCTTCAAATCACACCATATCAAGAGAGAATGGAGAAAGCTTGAGCCGAAATGGTGTTAGTGATCATCCAGTTCGGGTGGCAAGGCCAGGAAGAAAGGGATTGAAATCCCTACACGTTTTAGCTGCAATCTTGCTCTCCCGGATGGGCGCAAATGGCATATGGAATCTTATGGCCTTAGTGACTACAGCTGTGAGTTTCTTTTGCTATGTATTTGTTGCAGATTGTTTGTTATGTTTTTCTTGCACCATTGGTCCACTATCGTGTGGATTTTCACCGTCATCACTCAGATACATATTTTTGCGTTATATATGTGTGTGTGTGAGAGAGAAGAGAGAGAGAGAGAGAGTTGGATATTTGTCAATTTCTTTGGATTGTTAATTTATGACTACACAGCGTTTCATGAATTAAGCACATCAAACATTGGCAGGATGAAAAATGTGACAGTTGATGCATGTTACCAGTGGTGTGGTAGCATCTATATAGGATCCTTTCTCTTGATGTTCTTTCGTATTGCATTCTGTTATTTGCTCTTTTATTAGCATGAATCAATCTTTAACAACATGGTCTTATTCTAGAAGCTAATAACTGCAGATAGCCATCACTTCTTTCCTGTTGATCATTCAATTTTTAACACTTTTTTTTATCTTTCTTTATCTAGAAAAAGGGTGCAATGTTAATAGATTTAATTTTGGTGAAAGTAAAAAGGAGGACCTCTTATGACAGCTGTTAATGAAATGCAAGGAGTGAAAATTTAACATTTTCCTAAAACATACACAAGATGCCTACACCTACTTTGCAAAGTTGCCATTGTGAATCGCCATGCTGAACCACTTTGAATGCATAGTTCTTGGGAAGCTGATGCCTGAAGGCTGAAGCACCATTTTGTTCAAGGCACTAGAGCAGCCTTATTCACACCAAGGAATCTCAGTCAAGGACTTAAATTCTTGCAGCACTAGGGATGCCAGATGGACACTGGAAGGTCCAAATGAGAAAAACTTAAAAATAAACCCAATATACTTGTGATCCTTCTCATCTCCTCTAGCATTTCCTTCCTATGCTTGGCTTTCCTCTCTAGATCTGACTGCAAAATGTTTGATGAGAGTTTGTTTGTGAAAGGGTCTGAAAGAGTTGCAAGCAAGAGGGCTCGGGTTTGAGAGTGGTGGCAAGTTGCAAGGTTCTTCGAGGGATTATCTCATGACTGAACACCTTGACCTGAATCGGTATTTATATATTTTTTCAAATAGGACCAATCCATGTTAAAGTTTAATGAATGGCTCAGCCCAAAATAATTAAGAAATAAGGGCATTGAATTCAAATGGGCTTGTTGGGCCCTATTCAGAGGTTCCAATTTTACCAAGAACCAAGTGTTAGGTATCAGTAGTGACTCAGCTTGACATGTTTCCTGATTTGGGTGATCTCGGGTGGAACTATCGGGCCAAAAGAATGTCCTTTTCCAAATATTCACACTTAAATAGTTATATGTTCTTCATTCAATCATTTATATCTCAAGGCTTCTTTTTCTACAAAATATGTTAGTTTTGTAATTGAAATTTTAGGACTCTAAGCTTGATTTGTGTTTTAAAGTCAGGAATTATGGGATTGGAGGGAATTCATTTGTGGAGTAGGCAATAGGTGAAAGATTTTCTACTTGGCTGATTATAGGACACCACTTATGCTATATCCCAATTTCACTTGTCACGTGACAAACAATAGGATCTCATTCCATGCATGTCATTACTGTTGGAAATGGCATCATGCTATTCGAAATTATGCTAAAGCTAAGGTATGTTTTTGGAGAATTGTGTCTGTAATCCTATATAGTTTTATTGAAACATATAATACTAATGATCTATTTTCTATTGAAATGCATTTTACTGCTAAGAAATCGTGACTAATTGTATTGAAGTGTACTAAAGCTATTTAATTATATTTATCATTCAAATAGAGGGTAAACATTTTAGTTTTGACATGCAGCAATAGTTACTCATCCCAACCACTGGCAATTTGATACTTTTGTTGACCTTCTTCTAACCACTTGCTATATGTCTTGAAGAATTAGATGCTGAAACTTTTTTGCTGATACCATGTAGAATTAAAGCACTTGTTTTTACATGTGATATTGAAATTATAACTTTTCTTTTTCAAACTTAAATTAGGCTCATTCTAATATGCATATTGCTTGTTGAGAGACAGTGGGATGTGACAATGGAATACAATAAACTTGCACAATTAGATTTAACGTTCAACTAAATAGAAAAACCTTTTAGTTTATACAAGAAGCTAGAAAAGTCTTTTTTAGCCCAACCATTGGCATTTTGAATCTTTATGTAATCATCCTCTAATTGCTTTCTCATGCATTGGAGAAATAGTCACTGTTCTCTTTTTGGTAATTTCTTATTGAGATTGCACTTATGATGTTCAATACTTCAATTGATTCCCCCTGTTTACAGGTTTGTGTACATGCAAGATGTTAACAGATTGCTGGTATCATTTTCTTGGATATGTAGGTTGTATTCACTAAGTTGCTTAGCGTCAAACTTCATTTTTTTTGCAGGTTTTAAGAACTGCCTTGAGTCACAGATTGGCAAAAGTTCAAGGATTCTTGTTTCGAGCTGCTTTTCTTCGGCGTGTACCCAATTTTTTGCGCCTAATTGTCGAGAATCTTACATTATGTTTTCTCCAGTCCACCTTATATTCAACATCGAAGTACTTGACGGGGTCCTTAGGTTTGAGATTCAGAAAAAAATTGACGGACCTCATACATGCAGATTATTTCGAGGTCAGAACAGCTGTTTTCTAAGTGAGGCTTTTGAAGCATATTTACTAATTCTTTATACAAACTGAATTATATTGCAACATCAGCCCTATAAACAAACTAACTAGATATGTGAACTTTTTCCAGGGATCTTGTGACAGTAAATTGAGTTACTCTCTATGTTATTTTAGTCATGCATCTAATAGCTAGGGTACTTTTAGTTTTAGGCATGGTTCTAAATTTTGAATACTGGTAGTACCAGTCCCTTTCTGGACTAGTACTGGTTTGAAATGCACTGTCATGCCAACACATGATACGACCACCATATCGGAAGTGTGGAGGAGGAGGTGAAGGAGGAGAGGAGAACCCATCAGGCTGGTGGCAGTAAAGATAATAAAAACCGTTAACAAATTTACATATGCCACTGCCGATGACATTGATTAGGAAAAGCCAGGTTAACTACTTCTGGCTATTGTTAACAATAGTTTGTTGGAGTTGAAGAAGTATATAATCAAATTAACTAACTACCCCTAACGTTTTAAACATCATAATAAGCTTGTAAGGGTAATAATGTAAATTAGAGTTTCAACTAACATAACTTACAGGAGCCAATGGAGATTAATTACAATGGTGGATGTGCAAGTTTTTAAGTTTTGGAGGGATATATATTGCTAAACTTAATGTAGAAGGATACATATGAAAATTATTGACTTTGGAGGGATATATATGCAATTTTTCCGTAAATTAGAAACTAATTTAAGTCTATTAATCATGTTTCTTATGTTAGAAAATTGAAAGCCAATCTGAATTAAAAGAAGCATGAGAAAAAATTAATTATTGTACATAACAAAAATAATCAAATCATAACTTTCCTTTGGTTTAATATAGGTAAATTTAGCACTTCTGATCAGATATTATGATTTTTGAATGCTGTTGGAACTCAACCTGTATCTGTTCATATAAAAAAATCTGGATAGTCAATATAAATATGTATACAAATATTCAACAGAAACAATAAAGCCCATTTCAGGGTTTTCTATCTCATTCAAAGGTTTATGGATAATTTTTATTTTAACTCAGCGAAGACTTTTATTTAGCACACAACATATACTCACGATCATTTGCTTTATTTATTTTTTTGGTTGAATATGACTATAATTTGAGGCAAGATAATTAAGTTCATTTTTTGCATCTTTTTTTGTGCTTTTAGCATCGACATATAAACATATGCTTATTTTGTTTTTAAGATGCACTTATTTTTATATCAAGTTATGTTGTGAAATGCAGAATATGGTGTACTACAAAATCTCACACGTTGATGATCGGATCAATAACCCGGAGCAGCAGATTGCTAGTGATATACCCAAATTTTGTTCTGAATTGAGTGACCTTATACAAGAAGATCTTGCTGCAGTTGCTGATGGCATAATTTATACCTGGCGCCTCTGTTCCTATGCAAGTCCAAAATATGTGCTCTGGATACTGGTAGCATCTCTTTCTTTGCTGCAATTATTTTATGAATTAGTTCTTATTTCAAGTCATTTCTCGACTTTATGTCCTTTTTAGCTTGTATCATTTATTATTGGTATATATTGATAACTTTTAATGCAAGTTATTTGTTGGATTTCAGGCATATGTCATAGGGGTGGGTGCTGCTATTAGGAACTTCTCTCCTGCTTTTGGAAAACATATGTCCAAGGAGCAACAACTGGAAGGGGATTATCGGCAACTTCACTCACGATTAAGGACTAATGCCGAAAGTGTAGCTTTCTATGGGGGAGAGAATAGAGAAGCATCTCACATCAGGGAGAAGTTTAAGGCTCTTATTAAACACTTGAATAATGTACATCATGATCACTGGTGGTTTGGAATGATTCAAGACTTTCTCTTGAAGTACCTTGGTGCTACTGTTGCAGTGGTTCTGATTATTGAGCCATTTTTTGCTGGTAGTCTTAGACCTGATGCTTCAACACTAGGAAGAGCAGAAATGTTGAGTAATCTCCGTTATCATACAAGTGTGATAATATCACTTTTTCAATCACTTGGGACTCTCTCTATCAGTTCTAGGCGGCTGAATCGTCTCAGGTTATTGCCTAATAAATTCTATTAATACTGCACAAGGTCATGCCATTTGTGTGCAAATATAATATCTAATATATCTTTTGAACTTATAAAAATGTCAATTTGGCTATAAGGAATGGATATTTTGTCTGTACTCTACATGCATGATTTTAGTGAACTTGTCAAAGTGATTAGTAGGCCATATATTTACATATATCTTTCCCATTTCTATATAAGCTTCCTACCTTCCACCTCCTATGAAATGCTATAGTTATTTTGAACGTTGCAGCTTGCAACATCTTGAAGAACAATAATTTTGACCATGAGTAGTTGGGACATTACGGTTTTGTTGTTGTTGGTGGTGGTGTTGTTGAAGAGTCATTAGCTTTGACTAATTTTAGTTAGGCTGATTCTATTCTCTTAATTTTTATAGTATTATTCAAGGTTCGTCGTACTGTGGCATGTCACTCGGTATAGGCAGTACGTATCCGTCCAACAGGAGATCGGTATGGGCGATACATTGGTACGCCTCCCATGTACCATGTGTCAGTATGTTTGGTGTGACCTGGTATAGCTTGGTACATACCGTACCGATAACTGGTCGGTACACTAGTACGGACTGATAAGACGAACCATGGTACTACTTCTCTATATTTGAATGCTAAGTCCTTTTTCTAAATTTTGTCCAAGGTCCATTATGTGAATCATGTATAGGTCAGCGGGTGAATGAAAAAGTTAATGGAATTTTGCCAAGAATTCAGCATACTGTGACTGTAATTGTTGCAATAAGAAAAATCAAAGATGCAAAAGTTTTTGTTTATTTAAGATAATATATTGGGAGGAATTCTGATGGAAATGTTATGGGAAAACCTCAGGTACAATATCTCATATGAATTTTTTGATGAAATAAGGGAAGCTTGTTGAACTCTTAAAGAAGATTTTTCTGAATTTAAAAAGTAATCAGCAAGTGCAAAAAATATATATTCAATATTATAGAAGTTATTAGTTGAATTATTATGGTCCAAGGAAGTTGAAAGCCAAGATAAGTGTGCACTTAAATATACAAAGAATTTGCAGAGTAAATAGCACCAGCAGCCGCAATGTCCTTTTGGTGACAACCTCTATGATCATTGTATAATTTCCAGTTCTCAAATATCTTGTTATTCCCTTTTTTTTGTCTTATTGGGACTAAAATTTTGCTTTTGACGTTTTTTACTGCTAGCCGTACATAACTAACATTTGATGCTTCATTTTTTAATAATTCTTCATAGTTTAGCCTTGATGAGTTACTTCTAGACATCTTAGTTTGGTGTATAGGCAGTTGAATGTTTATGGATGGGATTGAAATAATCTTTGGTTGTTTCCAGGTTTTCTTTGTTGTAATTGTGAGCAAATTTTGCAGCATTTTCTAAAGCAATTGAATTAATTTTTGATATTTTTTCCTGCTGTTCTCTAATTTTGATATTTTTTATTGTTTACCTTTGCATATGTTTATGAGCAATTGAATTTCAATAGTTATTAATGGATTATTTTTGCTAATTTGTTTTCCGACATTTTTATTTTAGTTGTGGTCGTCATGACTTTTATACACCATTATTCTGAGCAAAGCGACAATTCATAATTTTCCTTGCTATGCTTTGTGTGATCATCCTTATATCTACTTTATGTAGCAGCACATGACCTAGTACTTACCTTTCTTGAGCATTAAAATTGAATTATCATTGTTTGTTAGTACTTCTTCAGTATATCAACCGGTAGACAGGCATAAAAAAATAGTGCTGGCATGAATGACAAGCCCAAGAAAAACAGGAGTGCTGTAATTCATACCTGAGTTCAGTGACAAGGGCCAATAGCAAAGAACAGATGTTAGTAGTTGAAGAAGTAGAAGGCTTTTGAACTTTTCACACAAAGTGAATCAATGATTGTCATTTTGTCTTAGTGTGGTAAAGAAGACCTATTAATATTGTATTATACTACACAAGCTAAGGATGTGAATCTCTACATTATACCAATTTTAGTAACCAGTCAGACTGCAACGGTATATCGTGCATATACTGACCCGTGGTGCTCCATGCCACTGGGAAAATAATCAAAAAATTAAAATACTGACCGGAACCAACCAATATGGTCCACTACCAGTCCTTGGTTGGACAGTTAAATACTAGTCTGTACTCTGTACAGATCATGTACAACTGAAATTTGATTCCTTGACCAAAGCCCTGGAGGGTCAAAACCAGTCATCCTGCAAAGTTTTGTTTCATCTTCCAACTGAGGGAGTTTAGGTTTCATTTGGTTGCAAAGAAATTGAGGGAAAGTGTTTTCCACTAGAAATCCTTTATGATGGATGACAAATGCAAGTTGTTTGGATATGGAAAAGGGAAATGAAAAACTATTCATTTTTATTTTCTTTACATTGGAAACGAAGATTCCCATGAACTATTTTGTGCAATGAAACACGTTTAAGTTGTATTAAGAGCTCAATTTTTTTTTTTCCATTAATGCCTTCAAATTCTTAAGCATGCCATCCTTAGGAAGACTTTTTGAATTTGTATACTTCTCTAGGTTCATGTATTGTAGGCTTGCGAGTTGTTTTGCTCATAGGATTGTTGTTTAGTTTCATATCTGGAGTTTGTAATGATCTTTTATGCTTATTACTGTTTGTTCTCTTCAAATTATGCTTTCTATGCATGACGCACTTTGTCTTGAGAAAAACAGATGGGATGATCTCCCACCAGGAGTCCTGGTGTGCATTGTGGTTTTGTTTACTTACTTTTATGAATAATCTACTGAGTTTATGAGTAATTAACATGAAATTCAGCACATTTTATTGTGTTGCTGTATTTAAATTTCTTGAGATAAGTATTCCATCTGAATTTCTTTGTGCAGTGGTTATGCTGACCGCATTCATGAACTAATGATTGTTGCAAAGGAGCTATCCGCTGTTTATGACAAATCATCGGTTCAGAGAAGTTCCAGTAGAAATTATATCAGTGAAGCAAATTATATTGAGTTTGCAGGTGTTAAGGTTGTTCCTAACTGGAACATTGTCCATTTTTTCTTAATTTTTCTTGTCCTATTTACTAATGTTGAATGTTTCCAGGTAGTTACACCAACAGGAAATGTGTTGGTGGATGATTTGAGCCTCAAGGTAGAATCCGGTTCAAATCTTTTGATCACCGGTAAGTATCTTTTCCTTAATTTCTTGTTAATGTTTAATCTCAGTCTGCTCAATGATATAAAGTTTTCACCACAACCTTTCAGATTAAGGTTTAAGTTCAATCTCTCATTGACAGTGTGTTTCCTTGCAAAATATTTATATTGTTTAGAAGTTAGAATGCCACACAATAATTGTTACAAGTTCTTGTTTTCTTTAATTGTTACATTTAGTTTTCAGAATTTGGATATATGTATATAAATAAATGTATGTATCTATAATTTACTTGGCCATTTAACTATGTATACTCTCTATAAATAAGTCTCTTGTTGTAAAGTGCATTTATGTGGCATCTGTGCTTTGGAGGCCATATTTTTATCTTAGAAAAGCATTGTTCATACTTCATAGCATAAATGTTAGTGGTCTCTTGCAGTGAAATGTTGTTTGAGATTAATTAGAATTTCATATTTTAAAGGTTTTGCTTATGAAGCCAACAAGGATCTCATTTCAACTCATATTGCTCCTCAGAAAGGCCTAAGCAAGAATTCATCATTCTAAGTAACAAAGTATCCAAGTACAATAGCTTCTGGATATTGTCCAAATATTGAAAACCTTTCATTGGTAAAAATCCCATATGACCAAGGACAGAGGGGGTTGTTTAATATCATTCTTGTTAGTGTTTTTAATTAACAATAATACAAATTTAGAAATGTAGGGATGAATGTACAGTAATGGTGATTTTATTTGGTTCTTTTGAAAACTATTCTACACTTTGTTTATCTTGTAGAAAATTTCTTCTACAAGATACTTTACTTTTAGTATTCTACACTATGGTAATGCTCGATGACTTGTGGAGATTAGAGGTTCACCTTATCACTGAAATTGAGTGACTGATGCTTTTAGTTTTTGGGACTGGTACCTTTCCCCCTTTCTGCCCCAGTCTAGGATACACAATGTGATAAATTGCCTTCTGAGATTCCAACTGAATTATTAATTAATTCTGTTTAATATTCATGCTTCCATTATCCTTAGGTCTTCCATTATCTGAGATGCAAACTGAATTATTAATTAATGCAAACTGCGTTCCACTCTTTATCTGTTTTTCTCTCCATGCCATAGCTAGCATTTTTAACCTTTTATTGGTCTAGAAATGACATTTGAGTGATATCAAAAAATATTTTAGAAAAAAAAGAAACAGAAACTACAGAAATTAGTTTAATGTTCCTACTTCCACAATATGAAAGGAAACAGTTCTGTACACCCAAACAAATTGTTATTTATGATCGTACATATTGTTCTATATACTTTTTGGGCAAAGCTGCATGCTTAGATTTTTGTTCATGATTCTGCTTTGGCTGGAATTAATGGTTCTTTTTAATAGATGGTTTGTGTTTCTTCTCTTTTTGGTTTTCAGTTGTAAGAAACTTCAACCAGTCCCTTTTGTTGCATGGATTACCTATCTAGGGTAAAATAACATTACTTGAACTCCAGACACATTTTTGAATAATTCTTGATTATGTTGTTGGTTTTAGTACAAACGAAATCTAACTTTTGTTGAATATAATAAAAAACTATGAGCTGGATTTTACAAAGCAGATCTTCTATGCTTCAAACATCTAAAGCTTTCTGATAGTTGTAATCCTTTCCGTTTTCTTTTTCTTGATTAGGTCCCAATGGAAGTGGGAAAAGTTCTCTCTTCAGGGTTCTTGGAGGTCTTTGGCCGCTGGTTTCTGGCTACATTGTAAAACCTGGGATTGGTTCGGATCTCAACAAGGAGATCTTCTATGTCCCACAACGACCATATACTGCAGTTGGGACACTTCGTGACCAATTGATCTATCCTCTTACAGCAGATCAGGAGACTGAACCACTCACTCATGAGGGCATGGTTGAGTTATTAAAAAATGTAATATTGTCTCACTCTTCTTAATTTGCCTATCTTTTCCCTCACAATTTGCCTTTCATTTATAATTGTTAAAGTGTATATTACTGTGGCTTCTTATTGATTTACATACTATTGGATCTGAGTTGTTGAAGGTAAAATAGTGAGTCCAAAGTACAAACTTTCATTTGGCAGGTTGATCTTGAGTATTTGCTGGATCGTTACCCCCTGGAAAAGGAAATTAACTGGGGAGATGAGCTTTCTCTTGGTGAACAACAGAGACTCGGAATGGCCAGGTTATTTTATCATAAGCCTAAGTTTGCCATTCTTGATGAGTGTACAAGTGCAGTCACAACCAACATGGAGGAACGCTTCTGTGAGAAGGTTCGAGCAATGGGCACATCATGTATCACAATTTCACACCGACCTGCTTTAGTTGCATTTCATGACATAGTTTTGTCTTTGGATGGTGAAGGAGGGTGGAGAGTACAGTACAAGAGGTTAGAGTTAATGATTTGTTTGACCCTTTTGGTTCTGCACAAACAACAGATAACGGGTATTCGGAATATATTGAATTTGCAGGGATGGATTGTCTCTCCCTTCTGAGGCAAGTCCTGGTTCAGTAAATTCATCGGAAATAAAGCGCCGGGATGACACATTAGCTGTTCAAAAAGCTTTTTTTACCAGTGGAAAGGTTTAAGATTAAGCCAAATACCTTCATTTGTTTTGTACATGCAACATAAGGAAATCTTCCGATGTTCTATTTCTGCAGGGAAAAACATCATCGAAGTCAGAGGTGCATTCATATTTAGCCCAGGTCATTGCATCATCACCTGACATTGACAAGGATGTTTCAGTTCCTATTGTTCCACAACTCCAGAAGGCTCCAAGGACATTGCCTCATAGAGTTGCTTCAATGTTTAAAGTACTGGTATGCATCTGTGTGTGTCTAGTGCCTCCCTTTCCTATATTTGCTCTCACGGCAGCTTTGCTCATAGTAAATTTGGGAAAAATAATTGTCATTATATGATTGGTAAAAGACCTCAAGTGAAAACCTGATAATGAAATTATTTTATTGCGTGGAAATGTTGCAGATTCCCTCCCTTTTTGATAGACAGGGTGCAAAGTTGTTTGCAGTTGCTTTACTTGTTGTGTCTAGAACATGGATCTCTGATCGCATTGCTTCTTTGAATGGTATGTGAGTACAAGTCTTGTGTTATGGATCCAGAAGGAAATCTGTTTTCTTCACGTGTATTTGACTTTTACAGGAACCAGTGTGAAGTTTGTCTTAGAACAGGACAAAGCAGCTTTTATTAGATTGACTGGTATAAGCATTCTTCAAAGTGCTGCAAACTCTTTTGTTGCACCAACATTGAGGTATTAATTTTTTTAGTTTGTTGTGACTACCAGTTATGTAGGATAAATATTCTTACTGAAGAAGCCAGAACAGACCTGTTTTGCTTTAAACCCTTTATGTCAATGTCTCATTGCTTTTCTTGTCTAATTTAACTTAGAAACTCATTGATATGACAGTTGAAGATAGCCCCAAAATTTACATGATTTGTTTAGCTAATAATGGTTTCAAAGAACCTTTTGCTACTAATGTGAGAAGTCTGTATTAGGATTGCTAATAGTGCACATTAAGAAGTCTGTATTAGGATTGGTGCTCAACGAGAGAATGAGAGGTCAAGGGGAAGGTAATTAAACCAGGGTAGTTTGTTATTAAGCAATTTGGAAGATGTCTAAATCATATCTTTTGGGCTTGTGTATATGAGTCATGGGTGAATGTGAATCTCATCACCCAATAAAATCCTACTTAAAGAGACATCAAATATTACCCGTGATAGCAAACAGCATGCCTAGACTTTCCGACAATCATATTAGGATTCACAGACACCAAATAGAGTTAATAAGATTCTACAAACAACCTAAAATAGCGACTAAAAATAACGATAATAATTAAATAATATTACTACAATAAGTTGTCACAGTTCTTTTTAAGTTGGCCATTTATGATTCATCAAACTTCCTAGAACTGAGGTCTTTAGTTTATTAAGGTCCTCTTGTCGTGCGCTATGTCTCAGTGATATTTGAGCTGCAAGATATGACCAAATTAATCAACCAACAAGAGGAACAAAGGAACAGAATTCATACTGGGTGTTCTTAAACAAAAAACTTAATCTTTGATCTGCTATAATTTGAAGTTTAAAAGTCACTTATTATACTTAGCATAGACCTTATACATGTTGCTGAATCAAGGGTGAGCATACTCTGCTTTGATTATTATGGAACATGGGTTATCTAACTTAAAATATAGCCAGAAAAACCTTTGACAAAGTCTTCAGATTGTTATAGTGTTTAGTTGTTTGACTCTCTCCATCTCCTCTTTCTCTTGTCTACGTCCATGCATACACACTTTGAAACCCTAGCTCATTGAATGTGCCACCCTTTATTGTGAGTGGACCATCAAGACTTGATGGGTGATGGTGCTGAAGAGGATGGGTATATCGAGTGCCTTGCCCTTGTGGCCTTCTCTGGGAGGGTCTTGAAAATCTAATATATGACAATAGCCAAGTCTAGTTAACACTAACTGAGCATACAGCACCAAGTTAATCGTGTGGGTTTTTACTTGTTTAGTGTTTTTTTATAAAATCAGTGCATATGTTTTTTAAATTGAAAATTCACGATTATCAAGATTAAAAATTGTTGCCATTTTCCTTAGTGATCTTCCTTCAGACTAGCAAACTTGTCCAAGTTTTCCAATATTTGTCCTGTACAGTATTAAGCTAAAGTTATATGCCTTAGAGGAGTAGTTGTGGCTTTTTTCTATTGCACATGTAACAACTAAAATCTAGTTGTACTACAATTAACTTTTTTGAGACCTTAATTTTGCTTTTGTTGTTTCAGGCATCTCACAGCCAGGCTTGCCCTTGGATGGCGAATTCGATTGACTCAACATTTACTGAAAAATTATTTGAAAAGAAATGCTTTGTACAAGGTAATTCTATCTCTTTGAACTTAACTCTTCACATTAATCTATGTGATTTTTAATTTTTTATATATTTTAAAATTAAAGCAGGTTTTTTTGCTGAAGTAATTTTTTAATCATGCATTAAGTGTTGATCATGTCATGGCAAATTGAAAATGGAAGGATTTTACGGTAGATGAAACTCTTATGTTAAAGGCTCAACTCACAGGCTGCTAGAATTTAGAGCACTGAGGTGAAATTAGTCAAACCTAAAAATACAACAATGATTTGCTGTTAAATTTTGTTTGAGTATAATGTGGTTGTTATGATGAAAGGTTCATCTTTTTGTTTGTTGATATTGTCTCGACATGCATGTTCATGATAGTGAGTGATGATGAAGGTGAGGATGCCACACCAATTTGGGCATAAGGTGGATTTTGGAGGGTGGGAGAGTTGTTATGGAGCATATTTACACCTTGCATGCCTACATCATTAAATTTCTCATTTAATCGAATCAGTTTGAAATGACTGGCCAAATTGTTCAAAACTGTTTCTTTGATAAGATTTTTTCCTGTCAGCGTTTTTCCTAAGGCTGTGGGCTCATATTCTTTTCAGCATGCCACACTTGTCGTTAAAATTTCTAAGTAGACCTACTTATTGCATGGATCAAGAAAATTAGTTAGTAGTACAGACCTGAAGAATGTCTGTCTTCTTTTTCATAATTTACATTGAGTTATGTGCCTGTGTTAGTTAATGGGTAGCTTCCTTGAATAGCCCGTACCTTATTTATGACCATTTCTTGAGCTGACCTCTTTTCTTCCCCTATGAAAGCCATGCATGGGTTAAATTTAAACTGTTCAAGTACTTGAGAGTTGAGATAGAGGAACCACTTCTGTGTTCGCTGATGAGAAGTTTCCATGCTGACTCTTTGATTCCACTGAGAATAAATGGAACTTTTGTTTACACCTTTCTCTGTGTTGATAGTTGATAATCTTGAACAATAGATCACAACTTACATATGACATTCGCCTCTTGTGTCAATGCTTATGCTGTGAAATTTCATCTGGTTGTGTTTATTCCAGGTGTTCAACATGTCAGGAAAGCATATTGATGCAGATCAGAGAATAACGCATGATGTTGAGAAGTTGACTTCTGATCTCTCAGGATTGGTTACTGGAATGGTAAAGCCCTCTGTTGACATTCTTTGGTGAGTCATTTGGTTGTTTGATAATTGGTCAAACTCAAACTTTGTTTTTGCTCTAGGAAACCATTCAAAAAAAATTTGATTCTAACTACTACTTGTTTCTCTGAACAAATACAGGTTTACATGGAGGATGAAACTCCTAAGTGGACGTAGAGGAGTCGGTATTTTGTATGCCTATATGTTACTTGGTTTGGGCTTTCTGAGAAGTGTCGCTCCTGAATTCGGTGATCTAGCAAGCAGGGAGCAACAGCTTGAGGGGACCTTTAGGTATTTGTTTTTTCATTCTCTTGTTCCATGATCCTTGCAGTTCTGCTGTTAGACTTGTTTCCCTTTTGTTTGTATTTATGTTTATTGTTCCTTATTAAGCATTTATGATATTGTTCACTAGGTATATGCACTCGAGACTCCGCACACATGCTGAATCTATTGCTTTCTTTGGTGGTGGTTCTCGGGAAAAAACTGTAAGTTCATTGCATTCCTTGTATCAGGTTCATGTCAAGATGCCAGTCTTCTGTTTTCATTTCACCTTGTTGATTTAGTTATATCAATTTTAGTTTTTAAAAGATGGTTTATGATGCCCTTTATGCCACTGCTTCTCTGTATGGTTCATATGACCAAATTGCATTAAGGCCTATGTGGTTTGATTGTGTTGTAACCATATATGCAAGTTATGCAGCTACAGATATGGTTGTGGACATGTATGCCAGTCTTATGTGATCTACGTATGAAAATTCGATCACATTTGTGGTTTATTGTTCTGTTAATGTGGTTGATGGTAAAATGTAGTGAAGCACAGTTGAATATGTTTGTTCTAACTTATTGCTAATATAATTTCATAAGTTTGTAAACTGGTCATTGAATATATCTGTGTTTTTAAATACATTTTCTATTTGTACATGATTAAGTTAGTAATTATATTTATATGAACTGCATATGCACTCAAATCTAGGTTCGCATACCACATATGTGCTCTTGTTACCTTGATTGCCTGCATATGGAAATCACTTTTCTAGCACATTGCTCTCTCCCATATTTGCTTTAATCTGCCTGCAGACTAGAATGACCATTTGATAACTTTTTTTTGTTTTACCAAATGACTGAAACTACTGGTACATTGCTCTGTTTATATGTATGTCAATCTTCATCCATAATTTTGTTTTGACAACCTATTTACAAAAAACCTTTAAGACTCAATTAAAAACTTAAATTTAGAGTTTATGGAATTCTACCTGATACAGTTCTTGAACCTCAAATTTTAGGTTTATCAATCTAATGGTAAACCTTCTTGTTCACCCTTTTCTTTATCTATGGCTCAAATCACAATGAGAAGACTCCATTTCATGGGGCATGCTGTTTCTTTTGTATTTCAGTATATGAACTATTGTTTCGCGGCAGGCAATGTTAGTACCTTTCTGGTACTACACAACTGTATGCTCGTGTCAAATCTTGCCCAGCCGACATGCAATGTTTTGGCAAATTTAATCCTATGCTGATTACAACTGTTTTTGTTTTAATGCATTTGCAGAATCATTCACTCAAGGTTGTTTAATCTTTCTATGTGACTTTTAAGGGAATATTCATTATCTTAAAATCTAGATGGCTTGATAATGGACTATGTTTTCACATGGACTTTTCTCTACATCAAAGACAGTTTGACCTAATATTTTATGATGCCAAACTTATGCTGGTGACTAAGTTGATGTTGTTCTTTATCTTTAAAATGTCATTATTGAACAGATGGTTGATTCAAGATTTAGGCAATTGCTTGAGCACTGTGAAGTCCACCTGAGAAATAAATGGCTCTATGGTATACTCGATGAATTCATCACGAAACAACTCCCGCACAATGTGACATGGGTACTCAGTCTTCTGTATGCTTTGGAGCATAAAGGCGACCGTGCATTGACTTCTACTCAAGGTTGAAAACAATGATATGGTTATTTTGGTTAATATAGTAACTATACTTGTCTATTTTTAACTACTATAAATTCTTTCTCAGGTGAACTTGCACATGCACTACGGTTCTTGGCATCTGTTGTGTCACAAAGCTTCTTAGCATTCGGGGATATTCTTGAGTTGCATAAGAAGTTTCTTGAACTCTCTGGTGGTATAAATAGGATTTTTGAACTAGAAGAACTGCTTGATGCTGCACAAAATGGTAGGTAGTGTACAGTTATTACAGCTATATATATTCTCTTTAGCAACTTCATGTTGAAGTTCTCCTATTCATATTTACATCTCTGGCACGTGGCATGCCGGTGTCAGATGTAACCCTTTTTTTTTTCCTGTCATGGTCAGAAGATATCTGCACTTCTAAGCATAAATATAGGTGCTATTCAAAAAAGCTGGGCACATCTGATTCACATCCTGATATCACTAAAAGTTCAACTAGCAAATCAGAGTTCATGACAATATGTGATCACTCTGATTTATTGGATGTTTATCATGTAACATATGCCATTGCAATTTCGGATATTATGTATGCCTAAATTTTATATTAAGCAAATTAATTTAGACTAGCTGAATATGCATGCATGCATGTTGGACCACGGCTCTATGTTTTGTCTGGACCTGTACATACCAAGTGGTATGTACCGATTTGATGGTCTGTTGGGTTGGTGGGACAGACCGCAGTGCATGTCTCCTAAAATGTGTATGCTCAAGAGATTTTTCGAGGCACATGCCGACATATCATGTATCAGTACGCTGGCACATACCAGACACAATGGGGACCGACATGGGTCTGGTATCGGAACTTGAACCATGTGTTGGACTATTGTGGTATAAATGTGGGGTACACAGGCATATAATTATTCTGCTGTTGAGCTTTTTATTGTTATGTTTTGGTCAATTTTATTGAGTATTGCATAATTTATTTTCCTCTGTTTGTTTAATTTACCTCTGTCAGGAAAATTATATGCCCACTTTTCATAATTAAGAAGATACAACATTTACAAGCAGCTCTTTCTCTGTTTTTTTTTTTTTTTTTGTTCTTTCTTGGGTAGTTGGTGTCATTAAATATTGCCTTTTGTTCCATGATTGTGTGTTTTTTTAAAAAAAAGTTGAATATATCTAATCCAACCATTCTGTGCTAAATTGTGCAAACATGCAGAGGCTTCTTTAGCTGATCCTTCTGTGTGCTCCGATACAAATGGTGTGCCTGCTCAAAACATTATTTCATTCTGCAAGGTGGATATTATTACTCCATCACAAAAGCTACTGGCTAGGCAGTTGACTTGTGATATTGTACCTGGGAAAAGTTTGCTTGTTACTGGTAAGTGTAAAGTATTTCATGAATTTGTTTTTTTTAATCAATAACTTTTTTTTCTGATCTTTTGAAGGTCCAAATGGAAGTGGAAAGAGTTCCATTTTTAGAGTTCTTCAAGGCTTATGGCCAATTGCATCTGGAAGACTTGTGAAACCCAGCGATGCTGTATTTTATGTACCACAGAGACCATATACAAGTCTAGGGACTTTGAGGGATCAAGTCATATATCCTCTTTCACGTGAAGAGGCTGAACTGAGGATGATTACTATGGTGAAAACTGGTAACTCGCTGATTTCGCCCCAACCTACATTATATATATTTAATTGAACTAGCAACCTCAGTATAGTATTAAGAAAAAGTTGCAGACTTGATCTGGCTAAAAAGAAAGTATAGGGACAAAGAAATTAGCTTTTTGCATGCGTGACTTCAATGATGTATTACAGAAAAGATTCATTTGCTGATTGACATGGTTCGAACATATGAGTGAGAAAGTAAACATGCACCATTTCAACCTATTCCACAGGTGCCGACATGTGACTAGTTTTAAACTATGTTGACCAATATAAAGCATGCCTATAGGCATGACATGGTTTTATGTTGTGCCGAAAGGGTGAATCCTTGTGTGGACCTTTGAGTTTTGCTTCTTTCATTCATCTTGCAATAGCACTAACTTGCTTCTATTTGACTGAGAACGTCTGGCTCATTTTCTCAATGTGAATAGTGGAAAAGACTCATTTGACTGTTTTAGTTTAGGAGATATCTCGTTATTCTCCATTTAATGCCAACCAGGGTTCGTCATTTCGTGTACCGGACCCATTTCAGTGATTTATTGGTATGGTACATATCAGTCTGTACCACTGTAATCACACACGGTATGCCGGGGCATGTCGATGGGGACTCGAGCGAGCCGCATGTCGGTGGCAAGTCGGACCGGTACGTATTTCCTATACCATACCGACTTGGGCGGTACAGCAAACCTTGATGTCAACTATTCGAGTACTGCATTATCTTACCAAACTGTAGAAGAGTATGACTACAAAAACTCATAATGTCCCAATTTTTGGGGTTCTCTTTCTGATGTAGAAAACAAGACAAGATCCAATAACACATGAATGAGGTATCATGTGGACGGTAATTCTATGACTTGACATGTCATCGGCACAGTTGAGACAGTCCAACAAAACTATGTTTCACCTCAACAAATTTCATTGAACCTCAGTTGTGAAACTTTCTGCAAGTAAAACTCTTCCTGTATTATCTCGTTGGAATAAATTCTCTTGCTTTTTCATAAGAGAGTTCATGTTGTTTTTACGAGTCATACTCCAATTTCAGACCCGTCTTTGGTAAACCTTTCTCTCTACTATAAATAAAGATGCACTGTCTGAAACGAAACTATTCTTAGTTTCTGTTTCTTTTTCTACCCTTATCATCTGCAAGGTGGCATGGAATCAAGCTATTTGATCATCACGTCGTCTTTTGGCTAATTGTACCAGTAAGGCTACGGAAGGGGCTTGTAGAAGATAATCTAACTAATCCTTGGGAATGGTTCCTTTTTTTATTTTTAGAACAGTATTGACATCATGGTTAATATTTCAGATGCTTGAGTAGACTTAGTGGTGGTTCGAGTTTTCCTGGAATAAATTATAGGGCTTTCTTTATACCATGCCTTTTGAACCGCTGCTTTCTTGAATAATCTGATCTCTTAACATCATCTTTAAGAATGATGTCTTTCTTTTGTTATGTTCATGAATATGTAGGTGACAACTCTGATGCAACTCATCTTCTGGATGCCCGCCTAAAAACTATTCTAGAGGGTGTTAGATTAGTTTATCTTCTTGAACGGGAAGGCTGGGATGCTACTGCTAACTGGGAAGATGTTCTCTCTTTAGGAGAACAACAGAGGCTGGGAATGGTGAATTTATTGATCTCATCATGTTGAACATTCTTATTATGTTTGCAACCATTGTTCAGTTACTCGCCTGTATACTAATTTTGCATCTTACACATACCTTGTCTGTTCTTTCCAGGCCCGCTTATTTTTTCACCACCCAAAATTTGGTGTCCTGGATGAATGTACGAAGTATGAATCAGTCACCTTGCTGAAATTTGAATCTATTTTTATTGGTTTCTATTGAAACTTCAGGTTCCTTAGTTCCTTTTCCTTGTTACAGCGCCACTAGTGTTGATGTCGAAGAACACCTCTATAGACTAGCAAATGATATGGGAATTACAGTTATCACATCATCTCAGGTAAGGACTGGTAGTAGAATGATTGTGATTTATTTCGTGACAGATTTTAGCATCCTTATACTTGTCTAATTATCTCAATATTTTTTTTATAGCGACCTGCCCTCATACCATTCCATGCAACAGAGTTGAAACTTATTGACGGTGAGGGCAAGTGGGAGTTGTGTGCAATCAACCAGTGATAATTTCTATATGTTAAAATCTTCAGTTGTCAGTGCATTGCTAATTTTGGCAATTCATGGCAATAATACATCAGTGAAGATGCCAAAGCTTCCCAGACCACATACCTCAGCTAGTTGCCATTAAGTGTTAGCCCAATTGAAGCCATGAATAAATTGATCCAGATCGACACAACGTGTGAGTATTCTCAAAGTTCCAGGGATAAGATCATTGTCATTTTAGGTATGTTTGAGCGAGAAGGCAGCTGTGACTTGGATATGTAAACTGGATCTGGCAATATGCCCCCTAAAGGAATGCATGTGCCTGGAATGTGCTAGAGTCAATTGAGGTGGTGTACATATACAGTTAAACTGGGATTTGCATTTTATCTGCAGGAATATTAATATCGACATGGATGCCGATGATGACTCCATGCTCACACAACAACTTTGTTTAACAATAAAATGTCACTCCTTTGACAGACTGGAATTTGTTCTCAACGTCAGCTCCCATTACCAAACATGAAAGGTTATTAATGCGAGTATAGGTGGAAAACCAATCTGTGAAGTCATGCCACCAATACTACTCCATGGATTAAATTTTTATTTTCCTTCACATTCTGTTGTTTCTTCGAGTATTTGTGTATCTTTAGCTGGGATGTCTTAGAACTTATGCTCTTTGCTTTCAGTAGCAACAAAAATTATTCTCTGTCAGACTTCTTGGTGGTGTTTCTCTCTCATGACACAAGATGTAAAGTTTACAGTCTGCACCACTGATATTCTTTTGCTTTTATGGTTTCTTCAGTGCATTAAACCTGAGTGACTGATTGATTGCAGAATTGTAATCAGGCGTAGTGTGACTGTTACTACTGGACGCAGGAAAATATTTGCAATCCTTTCTTATGCTATCGTTTTCTTTGAATTATCATGTGCTGATATAGTTTCTAACGCATCAACTTTTTCTTTGCTGCAGGAATGCGGTGTACTTTGACGTGGTTGCCGTCATTGTTTGCCTCCTGTATCGGAAGGTGAGGTCTTTCTTCCATGGTCATTCGACAAGCGCATTGAATGTTCATGTTCATGTTCCTGGATGTGGACAATGCAAGCATGAGTGTTGTCTTTATGCACAACTTGGTCGAACACTAATACATAATTTAATTTAATTACTGTAGCTGAAAAGGTGTACTTGAGGAGTTGGTGTCAATCTCACTTCCATGATAGCACTTTAGGTCTAGGCTATGACTTTAGACTCACATGGGTGTCTTAGAAGCAGCATTGTTTGATCATCCATGGCACATTACTTTAGAATATCTCTGAAACTTGGTGTTTTGTGAGCCTGGGCAGGATCAATCTGGTTGGCATTCATGTGAAGAGGACGACAACTGAGAAATCTGCCTCTGGTGTCTCCCTGTTGCAAGCTTCGGCTCCAAGTAATCTAAGGTAAGAAGTCTCTCTCCAATTGGTAGATGGAATCAGATCCCAAGTTGAGCATTATTAGCCATTTCCAATTTCACTAAGCTTATTGCCTTTCCATCGGTGACTCCATCCAAGCGCTTAAGAAATATTCGTCGTCATGCTACGTGAGGTACTGAAATTTTTTTATAATATAGAATTAAAAAATGGAAACATTTCCTAATTTATTGATTTAAAGTGTTAGTTAATTAAGAGGATGATAAAATAATATTATTATTTATTGATTCTTTTTTAATCTATTCCACTCACTTTTGCTTAAAAAGATTTTTTTTTCTATATTCGACTATAAGAAATATAGTTGGGGAAAAGATATGACATTTAAAAGTGACATCCAAAGTCAAAACTCTTTACTTGAAAATTGGAATCTTAGATGTGATTGATTCTATTATTTCCATTTTCTTTCCATCTCACTTGAGTCACTTTACCTCCATATAGCTTGAGAGGATGGTGCCAACCTCCTAAAACATGTTGCATTCTGAGCCTCATAGCTAATAATAATACACTATGATGGTTCGCTAGATTTCGCAACCACAAATTGAAGGGGCTCTCTCTATCTCTATTCTCAAAATCCGTCTTCTTTACACGATATAAATTACCTCATCGGTCTGAGGAACATTTGGTGTCTTCTCCTACCTCATCAACTCTCTACCATACACATAAGTCACCCTAACATTATTACTATTTTAGAATGTGATGCTTCTTTCGATCTTAGATATGGCTCGGCAGCAACTGGATTCGTCTTCAAATCTCCGTACACTGACATCATGTCTCTCCATTTTGCCAAATCTCTTTCACTTCACTGCACCATCTGATTATTATTTATTTGGATGCTCTCGACATCATCAAGTACATCAATCTTGAAGAAGAAAAAGATTCCATGGCAACTAAAGTCCATTATCCTCGACATTCAGCATCGATTTAGGATGCTTAAACGCCCAGTATCTCTTATATTCCTATATATCTAAATGTAAATGCCCACTTGTTATTTATTTATTTATTTTTATGGAAAATCCACTTAGTCTCCTGTTTTTGGAGGACAAATTCCCCTCCTCCTCCTTACTCTTTTCATGTACTTCCATTTCCTAATTAATTTATATTTTTCTTTTAAAATTATCTGTATTCAAATAAAAAAATAAACTAAATCGGTTTTGCATCGTCAAAATATCTCTTTATTTGTGCTCATATCATCAATTAATATTTCATATCATAGTCCTTTTGTAATCTAGACACACATTAATAGTTAATTATCATCACAAACAAACAATATTCTCGTGATCATCAAATCAAAATCCATTTTTCACTCGGTGCTTAATTTAAAATTTATATAATGCTCGTTCTTCATTTGGTTAAACACAAAAAAAAATCTTCCCTAATAGTTTGACTATCCCAATGAAATGTTTATCATACCATCCATCCATCCATCATATATATATATATATATATATAACCATTTAATCACGTATTGATTGAGGTGTATGCACTGAGTATCCCTTACTCTTAAAGATGTTTTTTTGGAGTTTATATGTTTCGAAAGGATAAAATTATATGGATACGTCCATCGTCAGATAATTCCTCGCAAGCCTATATGTCATATCAATGGTCAATCGATCAAATGATCCCTAACAAATAAAAAAAAAAATTATTAGTCGATCTAACCGTCTTCTCACTCAAGACTCATCCTCTTTCTTTTTTTAAGCTTTGCAAGGCACTTGGTGACTGTTGTCGAAGGGCATTGAGAGAATGATGTCCAAAGCTGGGGGTATATTCCATCTTGATAAGAAGAAATAATCCTCACAAGTACCACCTTTTGGCAACACATGCATGTATGCTTAAGAAACTCTCATAAATATGCTGCATAGCTAATGAAAAGAACCCCTACCTCCCTTTCACCCCCATCACCTTGCGTGAATATTTTTACTCAATATTAAATAAATAAATCTTTTAATAAGAGATTAAAACCCTTATATTAATCTCTTATTAATTATAAATTTTTAATCTCCTTCCATTATTTCCAACTGGCTTCGCTCGTACCATTATGACAGTCTCTACAGCGATGCTGAGAGCCAATTCTGTCCACGAAATCTAGCGTCGAATCGAGGTAGCGTGGCAGTATGTGATCATCATTATAGCATGTCATGATGGCCTCCCGAAATGATGATGCTCACATGGGGCTGACGGTGACGACAGAAATGCCACTGTTGGCTTCTTGAGCTTCCACCATCCGTTCGACGAAATGTCCAGACATCAGCACGCTCCTCTTGCCACAGAATCACCAAACCACAACTGCCACGATCTGTTCGACGAAATGTCCAGACATCAGCACCGACTCACCGACCCGCAAATGCCACGGTTAGCTTCCACGATCTGTTCGTCGGAAATGTCCAGGCATCGGCGAGCTCTTCTCGCCGCAGAATCGCCAAGCGGTGCCTGCTTCTTGATGTTTCGGCTTGCATCAGAAGGAATGCCAGACGATCCAGCAGCAGCGGGTGGACCGGTCCGGGCGGGGGGGGGCACATATATAAACAAGTGGCAGCAGCCAAAACACACACGCAGCCCCCCCTCCCCACATCATTAGCAAGCAGACAAATAAAAAGGGCTTTCTTTTCCCACCATGCACAGGTCGCCATCTCCCAATCTCCTCGCGCACATTCCCATACCCACTAAAGTAATCCAAGCAAGTGCACATCACGCTCGTAAGTAAAGGAGAGGAGAATTAGGGGCTTATAGTACTAATCTTAAAGCCATCGTACCGTAGAGACATAGCTCGCTAATCTTCTGTTATTATCGCTAGAGACGTACATCATATGAAAGGATCTGATTAGGCGTGGATGGGAGGGGCGGAGGCGGAGGCGGAGGCGGCGTCGCGGGTGGCGGGGTCGGCGGTGGCGGAGTGGGAGGCGGAGGAGGAGGATGAGGACGAGGAGAGGTGGCTCTTGTTGTTGTGCATCCAGACCTTGAGGACGTGCCGCTTGACGCCGATCTGGAGGCAGAACTCGTCGAGCGCGACGTCGTCTTGCTTCTGGACACGCCACCCCAGCTTCTCCGCGAAGGCCTGCATCTTCTCCTTCTGCTCCGCCGTGAACCTGGTGCGGAACCGCTTGCGGGACCCGGACGCCTCGGCGGCCGCCTCCTCGCGCCGCGGCGGCGTCTCCGACCCCACCCGGCAAGCCCGATCCGGCCCCGCCTCCTGGCACGGCGGCAGAGGCAGCGCCGCGGCCAGCGGCGGGGGCTGCATCGCGTGGTACGGAAGCGGCATCGGGGCCGGGAGGAAGGCCGGGAACTGCGGCGGCGGCGGTTGCTGACCTAATTTGCTGTGATCCCACGCGGCGGCGGCGGCGGAGGCGCCGGGTCCGTAGAGGAGGAGAGGCGGCCGGGGGCCAGCGACGGAGAGGCCCTCCCGGCGGTGAAAGTTGCGGTGGCAGCCACACGCCGCGCACTTGAGGGCGTCCAGGCTGTCCTCCTCCCCGGCCGGCATGAACTCGCCGCACCCGTCGTAGGCCTGTCCCCCCATCGCCGCCGCGTGGTTGCGGAGGCACTCCCGGTACCTCGCGCCGCCGCCGCCGCCGCCGCCCGCTCCCTCCGCTTCCTCCTCCCTTCCCCCTGTGTAGGGTACCACGCTTAAGTCCATCACCTGTCGCTTTCTTGTTAAGCGGAAGACAACCCCAAAGCAAGGGTTTTCGCCGCACTCCCCGACGCCGAAATTAACCTTTTATAATGGTGGAAACAGGCCTTCCAGCTTCGAATTTTCCACGCCAATCGGGATCCGATGGCTTAATCCCCTCGCTCAAACCTCCCCCACCAACTGTTCGGCAATAGTCCCCTCACTATTTACCCTTTCATCGCGAGGTAAAACCCCCTGCTTCATCTTTCATCGGCCGCTGCAGCGCGCGACGAGGGGATGATGCGTCTTAAAGACCACCCACCGATGGGATCGCCTGCCACGGGACACGTGGATGAAGCTGGTCGGCCGCCGCGTGCCCGAAGGGCAGAACCCCCCCCGGCGGGTGCGAGGGGATGCCGGGACGTGTCATCCTCTGATTCGAAGAGGAGCTTCTCTTCTCGGGAGGCCGGACCCACCACGTGGGAGAGTGTCAGCTTGCGCGGGGTGGGCTACGCACCGTCCGACGGACCTATCCGACGGCCGGGCACGCGGCAGTCTGAGCTCCGCGGGTCCCACTGGGTTCCGCCTGACGCGGGCCAATGATCGGGCGATTCGGGGCCCACCGTTTCGTCCTCTGTCC